AAGTACAGACTGACAAAGGGTCAAGCAGGGGTGCAAGGAACACTTATGACTAAAAGGGAAAGTGGTAGGGCAAATGAAACTCCTTGGTTTGATGTACTTGTGGACGGGAGCAAAGGCCAGAGGAAAAACAATGGTAGAGTGTATATCAAAGGGCATTAAGGAATTACGAGGCGAGTGTGAGATAAATATACAAGGAGATATGAATGCGCACATAGAAGATATAGATGGGTATACCGACCCAACAGGCAAAATGATCATGGATATGTGTGAAAGGAATGATTTGATCATTTGCAACACAACCTAGAAGTGCGAAGGGCAAATAACATGGGAGGTAGGAAGGCTTCAGTCGACATTAGATTACGCGCTGATGTCACATGGGATGTATGATAGGCTCAGGGGAATGCACATAGATGAATGTGGCTCCAGAAGTCAGGGTAGTGATCACAAACGTATCAAGCTAAGTTTTGGAAGAGCATTGAAAGTGTGAAGAAGACAAGATGAGCCACCACAGGAAAATTTTTATTCAGAAAGGCGAATAGAAATGGCTACTAAATAAATTGAGAAAGTAATCACTGAGGATAATAAAACAGTGTGGACATACACGAATCTAATTAGACTGTTTGAGCTAGAGCTTGCTAAGGCACGTGACAAGTCACCCCGGAAAAGAAGACACAAACCCAAGAGTTGGTAGGATGAGAAAGTTATGAGAGTCATTGCGAAACGTCAGGAAGCCTTTAGGGAACACGGACATGCTAAGCAGTGGGGTGAACCGACAGATGAAGTTGAAAGAAAATGGCAAATCTTTCTAAGCTGTAGAAGGGATGCATCCCTTCTAAAATGAAAAGATTAGAAGAAATGGAGCTCAGTGACTGGCAGAAGTACATAAAAAGATAGAAAGGCAGCTGCGCAATTTTGGAACCATCTAAACTCCCTGTGAAATGAGACGAGCCTAGAGCAGAGGTTGACAACTACAGCTCAAGGTGCTAAGCTAGAAGGGGATGAAGCTATTGAATATATGAGAACAAGGGTGACAGAAAAATTTCAACAAAGAAGTGCCTTATAAACCACAATAGACAAGGATGAACCAAGTGGTACGATGGCTCCAATTTCACAACGAGAGTGGGAAAGGGCTGAGAAGAGGGTTCCTAGTAGTACATAACCAGGCCCAGATGGCATTCCAACTATGCTGATAAGGACATTGGGTCTGAAGTCTCAGCAGGCTTTGAGAGAGGCAGCGAGCAAAATAATAATCGATGATGAAGTCCCCGATGGATGGAAACTTAGCAGGATGAGCATGATCTATAAAGGAAAGGGGGAAAAAGCTGCATAAACAACTACCGTCCTATAACAGTGACATCAGTGGTCTACAGGCAGGCGATGCAGATTACAAAGGAAAGACTGCAGGCATGGATAGAGGATAAGGGGGTGCTGAAAAACTGCAGATTGGATTTCGGAAACACTGGAGGTTGGAAGACAATCTGTTCTCACTGATGCAGTGCATCAAAATAGCAGAAAAGGAACACAGGCCCCTGTGGCTAGCATTTTTGGATATCAAGGAAGCGTACGATAGAGTGGTTCAAGAGGACTTGTGGGGAATAAGGGACACACTACGTGTGGAAGATGGAGTCACTAATGTTTTAAATGATATCTGTAAAGGTAACAAGGTAATTATAAAGTGGGAAAAACAGGTATCCAAGCCCGCAGAGGTGAAACGAGGGCTTAGGCAGGGGTGTCTTCTGTCACTCTTGTTATTCATGATATACCTACAAGTATTAGATGCCAAATTAGAGGGAAGTGGACTGGGCTTCAACATCTCTTTCCTGAAACAAGGAAAACTCATTGAAAAGGCACTACCAGCATTGATGTATGCAGAGGGTACAGTGCTGATGGCCGACAACAAGGAAGATTTGCAGAGATTGATGGACATGTGCGGTAATGAAGGAGATAGGTTAGATTACAGATTCAGTTAGGAAATATCGTCAGTCATGATATTTAATGACACTGAAGGTAGTGAGCTTAGAATACAGGAGGTCACGCTAGAGATAACAGATAAATACCAATATCTCGGCGTATGGATAAGCAATGGAGCCGAGTACCTAATGGAACACGAAATATACGTGACGACTAAATGTAATAGGAATGCAGCGGTAATGAAACACAGGGCACTGTTGAATTACAATAGGTATGATGTTGTGAGAGGAATATGGAAATGAGTCATGGCTCCTGGTCTGACGTTCACAATGCGGTCTTGTGCATGAGATCAGAAGTTCAAGCAAGATTAGAAATTAAGCAACGTGGAATAGGTAGGCTTGCCTTAGGAGCTGACGCGAATACACCAAATCGGGGAGTACAAGGTGATATGGGATGGACATGATTTGAGGGCCGGGAAGCTAGCAGCAAGATAAAATTTGAGAAGCGATTGAGAGAAATGGGAGAGGAGAGTTAGGCTCGGAATGTGTTCAGCTACTTGTACATGAAGAATGTCGATACGAAATTGAGGAAGTGAACCAGAGAGTTGACTGATAAATACTTAGAAAACAGCAGGGGACCAAACCAGTAAGAATTATCGGTTAAGAAGAAGGTGAAGAAAGCCGAGACCGATATGTGGAGAATAAGCATGATTAAGAAGTCCGCACTAGATATTTATCGAACTTTTAAGCAGGGAATTCTATGATAATAATCGATCTATGATCTATGATCATAATCAGGGTAGTTCCCTACTGTTTGAGGCCAGAACGGGAGTATTGCGAACCAAGGCATATCGGGCCAAATACGAATGGGTAGACATGGTATGTTGTGCGTGTTGAGAGGAGGAGGAAACTGCCGAACAATTCATTATGTTCTGTGAAGGGTTTCACCTTATAGTTCTGAATGATTAGAAACGATAAAGACTGAGTTGAAATGGTCCGTCCGGTAAAACAGTGGCTATGGCGCTGACCCGAGACTACGTTACAGGTTCGGTCCCGGCTGTGGCGGTTGCATTTAGCGGTTGCATGGTATACAGACCAGTGCACTGTGTGGTGTCAGTGCACGGACATCAGCTCGTCAAAATTAGCGGAGCCCTTCACTGTGGCATCTCTCACTGCATAAATTCTGCCCTGACCGCTACGCAGACTCCTGCCCGGGCTGTGGCAGCTCACCAACGGTATTCTATGTCACAGTGGAGTGCGCTGCAGAATCATTTCCTCCCCCGACCGTCATGCTGCATCCCGTCCGCACCGAAGCACTTTGGGACGATGTCCGAGGTCCGTAAGGCCTTAGTTCAATGGGCCTGGTTGGTCGCCGAGTTCATTTTAGAGAACCTGGACTAGAGTTCATTCTCACATGTTTGGTCTCTATATATTTCAAATAAAACATTTTCTCCCTCTCTCATGTTCATATCATGATCTTAGGACGTAAAACCGAGATATTATTAACATTATTATCATGGGATGAAAGGAACAAACAAGGCCTGAAATTTTATAGTTAACAAATTCACCTAAGAAGTAGTTGTAATGATTATCTAAATATAGCTAAAAACGCGTTTCACGCACATGGCGCAGGCAGAAACGGGATGCCAGTGAGGGCGCCACCACTTCAATGAGCGAGTGAAGGCTCCACCCCCTGCCTCCTCACCGGCGCGGCAAGATCCCGATGTAGTAGCGGTATAGGTGATGCATATACAGCGACTTCCAGCTTGTTACAGCGGTAACAAACTAAAAGTCGTTAACTTGCACGAAAGGTAGTGAAATATCGCACACCAAGACACTCCTCGTGCTGGGGTAGTCCTGCAGGCTCACCTCAAACATTGCTGTCACCAACGTACGGTTTAGTAAAATGAGTGGTGGGAACTCTACAAACGCAAATAGCTGCTTGCCCGTGCCACGCACATGCTCAGGTTTCACTGTTCCGCTGTGGAGCTGCCACACGTTCTTTCATATAATAATAATAATAATAATAATAATAATAATAATAATAATAATAATAATAATAATAATAATAATAATAATAATAATAATAATAATAATAATAATAATAACAATAATAATAATAGAATAATAATAATAATAATAATAATAATATCATATTGAAATTTATTCATTACTATTACTAACTATTTAAGGTATTTCATATAAAATTAGATTGACTCATTTATGATTAAAAATAAAATAATCATTGTGTTTATTTATTTATTGAAGTATTCATAATCAATTCATTTATTATTTCAATGAGTCATTTATAGCAGATACAAATATGTGTTCATTGACTAACCAATTTTTATATTATACATTTATTTATTCATTACTTTATTCACGCATTCATTCATTATTGGCCTATTCAACAAATAATTAACAATAATTACTAAACTATTTATTTTTTAATGTAAGAGTCACTATTTGAGCCTGAATTTAGCAGTTGACCGAGTGCTGACAGTGAGAAGGGCCGTAAAGCAGGCCTTGTGGATGAAGTCACTCATTGCCATTCATGTCCACATGTGTGAACAGTTCTTTTGTAACCACTGTTGCAATATCTCTTTGCCCTGCGGTTCGCGTCCTCGATTCTGACCGCCGTGTAGATGTAAGGCTGATTCCCTAGATGGTGGCGGTGCCACTAGCAGTAAAATTACGTTTATATACGTTTATATAAAAAAAGAAAGGGGATCGAGCGTTAGGGCACAGTTCGAATTGGTGACGATCGTACAGTGAGGCTGTTGTGACGTCAGTCGCGGGGTTTGTATGCATGCTCTCAAGCTACTGCCAGTTGCGCATGCGCCGAGAGATAGCGTGTGTACATATACTGTCCACACTATCTGGAGGGTGTTATTCTGTTTTGTACTGCTTGTGTTGAGGCTGGCAGTGTGCGCCTCAGTAATAAAGATGTGATACCATGTGCCCGGTGTCGGGATATAACAGAGGCGAAGATGATGGCGGGGCTTGTGGCCTGTGTGTATACCTAATATTGCTACCACAGTCACCACTACTTTCATCAACAGTTTATTTGCTAAAACTTCTTTTTCTCCAGTGCTGCTCCCGCGACTCCTTTGAGGCTCCCAAGAATTTCAGTTGTGCTCCGCTGTTTTTTTCCTGTCGATATCACTTTACCCCACGATGACAACCGGGTTCCTGAATGACGTTGGGGCTCCTCTGCAAGAAGAATAAAAATTCCTATTAAAATGTAAAGCAGTTAGGAGAAGCGATGCTTTACCTTTCGGGCGCCAGACCAGTGGTGATTAGACATTGCAACTACAGCACTGAATTACCCACTCAAGGCGTGATTCTCATTGAGTGACGCTTGGTTCTTATTTCACTCTTCTCCCACGCTACATCACATATGTTAACGGGTTTTCTTGCTTAGCAGAATGCCCGTATACGGTCTTTTTGCGAAGCAGTTTCAAGCACCGTCTTGGCGCTGAGGCAGAATACTAGGCCAATGTAGAAATACCGACCGATCGTAATTTCTTTTTCTCGTTTCAATTTTACTGCGGAAGCTGTTATGAGATCACAGCAGTGGTCGAGTGAACTTTAGTTGTCCGCCACCACCAGTGTGCGCAAGCAGTGCCGCGCGAAATAAGCAAAAAAAAAGCTACGTGGAAAACTACACCAAGGACACAATGGGACTCCAACCCGGCTCTCTTGCGTGCCAGCCCAGTGCTCTATACCACAGAGCTCCACCGCTTTTTTCTCTTTATTTCCGGTTAAAATTCACACACGGGGACACACGGTAAGTATATTGCAATACATAAAAATATGACAAAAAGTTACTACAGCCGTGAAGCACTGCTATAGCACATCACTTCTTAAAAGTTCCTTCACGGTAAGCATGGTTTCCGCCCTATCTAACAATGAACGAACACACTTATTTGTTCTTACTACCTCGAGAAACTTTGATATATACTTTAAAAAAACTGTCTTGTGGGTCTCCTGTCAGGGCCACAGTGGAATCAAGGCAGCCATTATTATTATATCAAAAGCTTATCCAGCATCATGCTATATTGCGAAGAACTTGATTCCATGAGGGTCCAACGAAAATTCTTCTTGATAGTGTACCTAAACGAGTAAATAAATGTGGGTAACTCCAAATGCGAAAATGTTCTTTTTTCAATTACACAGCGGAACACTTCCAGTAAGGACGTTTTTAGAGGAGCGTGATTTTTATATGCCACGGGAACCTGTCTATCTAATCTGTAACAAACCGCAAATAATCGACCACGTTTGCCTACATTGTCGGGAACGGGTATACCTTTGAGAGGTTTTACAGAGGCCAGTGCTTTATTGCCCGTTGCAAACTGGCCTTAGGCAGGCTTGATGTCGGGAAAGGAATCGCGTTCATGTGAGTGATAAGACGTTTTAGAGCAGCAAGATAACAACCACACGTCACACAATGTGAATGGCGCACTGGGTGGGTCATCAAATGCTCCAAATCATTACAAAACTTCAGGCATGATTCTTCAGCTACGTCAGCCACATAATTAAAAAGAATGCACAAAGTTACTGGCAAGTATGTAGCAGGTACCATGCTTCTCGGAAGAATGACGAAGGATGTCATAGTGAATGCCTCTCTGTACAACACAAAAATTAGGATGACATATGGCGTAGTGGATATCCTGCAAGTCTGCTTGTAACAATTACCCAAAGGGTGTTGAACAAAAGCTGTGAAATGCTGCTCTTCCACATTGCGCTGTAACTGTGCTGCGCGTTCAGCGTAAGTGTGGGAGTCTTAACGCAACAGCGTTAAAGAACTGTATCGCTGAAATTCTGGCGTCGTTAGCTATGAGCAAAAAACCATCATTCTTACATGACCAAAAAATCGAGAAAGATGCAAAAAAAAAGTCACAGCTTTGCCACCAAGGCGAAAGAATGAACATGATAGCAACAAACTGGAAGGTCACGTGCATAATGGCAAGCAGATCGAAATGTGCTCCGCGTTTCACACGCACAGATGACGTACGAAACATTCTCACAGGTACTGATGAACGCGAATAAGCGTCTCAGTTGTTAACTTCGCTGTGTCTGAAAAGCGCGCCCTTTCCCAAACGGAGACTGTGCAATGATTGCAGTGACCTTAGTGCGCCCGGTGACTAAAACAGAATCCCTCCGGTGAAAGTCCAAAGCCACCCAAGGCGTACAATTCTCCCCGCCGAGAGATAAGGGTGCGCAAGTGAGGGTGAATCCCCTCCTCCTCGCGGGGCAAAGTACGCGTGGAAGATGAGAGCGCGCGCCGCCGTGCCGTGACGATGTGGCGACGCGCGATCATTGCGACGTCTTGCTGCTAATGCTGAAAACACAAGTATTCCCGAGATGGCCGTCGACAGCGGTAAGTGGTAGATATAAATAGCTTTGCGTTTGAACGGTGAAGGACGTGTCATACCCCTGTCACACGTGCACCCGCCAACACTGTTTAACTCCACGTTCGACGATCATCCTTTGCAGCAGAACGAGGTTCTTTCGTCCCCAGTATTTGCTGGTCAGAAAAAACTTCGGCCACTAAATTGAGAAGAATAATACATTTTGGCAATATAAACGTTCTTTTGTTGCAGTACTCATTTATAACGTGCTTCTTTACATATATGTACGCCCGCCAGAGTTCACCTGCTCTCCACACCGATGCACTCCACACCAACGTCACCGCCATTGGAAAATATTTCGTCCGTGCGTGTGGTTATTGTCTTCGCCATGTTTGCGTTTGCCCGTGTGAGGAATTACTGACAGCGCTGCGTCATCGTCGCCTGCTTCGACGGCTGAAGGAATGGGTATTGGGACCCAACCTAATTCAAGGGTAACTTTTGCTCTACAAAAAGAGCTAGTTGTCGAGCACGACCCAATCGTAAACAAACATAGCGTTAGGCACAAGGTAACGAGCGTTGCTGTCAGCATCGCTATATTTTGCGAATGTGTTTTCACTTGAAATAATCTTTATTGCTTTGTTCACTTAAGTCTTACTTAATAATGTTTTTTTTTTCTAAAAATCGCATAACGAAAATACACAAAAAAACAGCTAGAGATTAAATCGGGATACTTCTGCGAAAATGAAACAACGCCAGCTGAGCCCCCTCGCGGCAAGTATTACAACCTTTTCATTGCCATGTGACACTGCTCAGACTCTATCTCTGCCAAACTCCCTAGGAGAGATTTAGGTTGACGGAATTTAACAGAGTTCGGTGGTGGCCGTATGACAGGGTATTACTCAGTGGCCCAGCGGTTAACGCCTCACACTCAAGACTCAGAGTATCGAAGTTCGATTCCGTGCGCTGAAGTCATTTTCTGGGTGTTTTTTTTTGTTGCCTTTTCATATATATAGATACGTATACATACACGGTGAGCAATGGCGACGTCGACGCCAGCGGCGAAATCCAGCCGTGAGTATCCATATAATTGCTATCGCATTAAAACAAATCCTGTGTGCACATGGGGATAAAATCCGAGTTGTTTGCGTGGCAAGCGGATGTTCTACCATACAGCCATGCCTTTGCTTGCGAATACAGCGATAATACCTTCCTATGCTTGGAAATACAATGAAGTGATTACAAACGCACACGTTCTATATACAGGCTTCACGATACATCATGAAATACTGCCGCAGTAATGTGTGGTGCAAGTGTGCATTGCCATCGAGTGTCAGAACATAGGATTATCATAAAGACTTCATAGTTTAAAGCCAGTCACCCGCTACAAAAGGAACACATTGCACACGTAAGGCCACGTATAGTGGGTGCATAGCAAGTTCGAAAAGATATACACGAAGGGCGAAATACGCACTAACAGCAGAATGTCAGTATCGCGTTAAACTTTCGAAGGAAAATCTGAAGGGTTCCTCATTTTTTTTCATCCTTCCCCTCGTCCAGTCTCCCCATCAGCGACCTTCGGTGCTCCCGCTCCTTAATAAAAGAATTTATCCATGTGAATCACGCAACAGCGGTCACTGACACCGGCGGCGGCGGACAGCTACGGTACCTAAATCGGCTCTTGTAATCTCATGATAACTTTCACACTATAAGTAAAGCATATATTCAAAGAAGAAAGCACACCCCGTGCACGCGCACAATTTAGATTTCAAGGTCCGCAACTGTTCCTATAAGCACCTATAATAATGAGTTTGCAGCGTTAAGTGATAAAGAGAACATCCACAAGATATGCTGCAACTCTCCAGAAAAGTTTGCTTCATTCTAGTTGTTAAAGTTTTAACACTTGACTATATACAGCAGATCAAGTAATGATATGCCGAACATGCGGCGGCGAACAGCCGTAGTGCACCCATGAGGCCGCAACAGCACGTCACATTTGGCGCCCAACGTTGGGCTGATAGGCCCTTTTCTCTTTGATTACGGCATCACTTGTCTAAAAAGTCAAACTAAGTATTGGGCTTTCGTCCCTGCATTTCGTAGAAGCAAGTGGCCCTCACCTGCCAAACTCGGGTCAACTCAGAGCTGCGGTAATTGTGAATGATGGAACACTTCAGCATATAAGTTCTTTCCCGCGACCCGGCATCGCATACTTGAAGTAAAACATTGAGTAGACAAAACTCTTGTACGACCACATATCACACCGCTAAACGGCAATGTGCGAAATGGCCAATGAGGCAATCAAGCATGATTTCCATGGCTACCGCCGGAGGAGAAAGTGGGCCAAGGTTCTCCCATATTCTGCTACTACACCAGGCACCGAGACACGGTTTGACAAACTCCATTTTTCTCGGCATATTTTAGAGATGCAGTGCTGCGACCAGACGTGGTCTGCAGTCGCCGGGAATTCCAAGAGCTTGAGGAAAAAAGTAAATGAAGCTGTTGCGCGGGCTTGAGTAAATAACCGCAGAAAGTCAGAGAGCTCGCAGCCACATACTGATTCTAGAAAAGCGAAAAATAGGACTTAGACAAGCCCCACAAGAACCTCGTGCATGTGAGAGAAGAATGACTATTCGATACCCATTGCTCACATGGAGAAATTTCGAGCTTTGGACTAGCGTGTGCCTCTGTGCTGCGAAGTGCAAATATTTGCTAGAGCCTGCATATGTTGTGGCGCGTGCGACAGTGGGAAGACTTTGCTTCACTTTTGTGAATACTTACAAATAGGACTGCTTAAGTTAATTTAGTTATGAGTTGTGTGTTCCAGTGTTTTATTATGCATTTCGCTGTGTTACGCTTATTACGTTGTACTCAGTCGGGAAGACTGCTTTTAAAACTAGGTCGTGACACTCGTTGCGTGTCTCGCGCCTTCGTGCGAGAAAAGATACAAGATCGATGCCCACCTCGCGCGCTCGTGCAGACTTGCGGAGTAAAATAAAGGGTCTCTCCCTGGTCAGCCATGTGTGTGGACGTCATTTGTCAGTCGCCTAGGAACCCACATATATTCGAGGGCCACAACTGCGCGTGACATTGTAATACGAAACTTAGATGATATGCTGGTTTGGTACTTTTGTTCACTATACTTTCTTGATATCTACATCACAATTAGTACAATACACTTCTACAACAGTGCCATTAACGTTGCCTATCCTCTTGCTGGCTTCATTATCGAGTTCTTATCGCAAACGTTGTGTCAAGCAGAAAAGAAACAGCCCTCAAATTCGTTCTTCTTTATTCAGTTTCACAGTAGGGAGTAGTTGTTTCAATAATTTTGCGGAGGCATGTCTGTAACTGGATACGCCAGCTTCACTCAGACAGCCGATTGGACAACACACGTTACACCTTATATAGAGAATAGTTTGACATACGACAATATTTTTTTACCTCGATCTTCCGTGAAATTCGCAGCGTGCCAAGTCCTGAGCACACTCGTCGCGGTGAGGTTCGTACACTTCACCGTTCACGCATCGACAGCTACTGCCAGAGATTGAACACGTGCGACTGCCGTTTCCGCATTCGCACGTCTTGCAGCGTCTGAAATGAGAACAGCCGGTAACTGCATGAGATCGTGAAACACGCCCCTCCACGACGCATTATGCGGTGCCCTGCTCCTGACCCCAAGGCTGTGAGACTGATCCCGGCCGCGGCAGTCGCATTTCGGCTGAGGCGAAACAGTACAGGCCCTTGTACGCTGAGATGTCCATGCATCTTAATGAACACCAGATGATCCAAATTCCTGGAGCCCTCTACTACGGCGTATCTTATAATCTTTGAGACGTGAAACTCTATAAATTAGCAATAATATTACCATTCAAGGAAACAGAAACAACGCTGCTTTTTATAGGAGAAATTTAGATGAAATTTTATGCGGTAAAGATGAAAATTTTGAAAGTCAGCGACAACGGGGTACATAATAGCGTAAACTTTGAAAAAGACAGATTATAAAAAGACGTAGGAGGGACCAGAAAAGTTGGGCGCTAAACTTCGTCTTTTCGAAAAAAAAAACAAGCTACCAGATTATAAATCTCCGAATGCGTGCATCAAAATGGGTAAAGACTGGTCACACCCACACGTCAAGAAGCTACAGCTGACTGTGGTAGAGTGAAACAGACGCATCACTAAAGCATAGATATGTCGGGTTTAACGTCCTAAAACCATCATATAACTACGACAGATGCCGTAGTGGAGGACTCGGAAAACTTCGACCACCCGGGGTTCCGTAAACCACTTCGAATATTTTTTCAAGCGTTTCAAGTAAACGCACGGGTCCTGTGCAGAATGCCGTCGCGATGAACGAATCTGCACGCGGCAGTGCTACGAGCCCCCGGCGCGCCACAAATTCCGAGAAACAATCCCTCCTTTCCGGGCCTTCGCGTGACGTGCCACATCTCTAACGCGCCGAGCCAAATATGCCAAATATGGTGTGACTGGTCGAGCAAGAGCCTACGACTTCTGGTCAGTCTGCAAGCAGCTGCCCGCGCTGCTTGTTGTTCGCCGTGTTGCCCACGTGCGTGCAACACGTGCGGGGCACGGCGTATCCCCGCACGGGACCATGCGCGCTACGCCAGTTGCACACCAGTTCGATTACGGAAGCCACGGTTCGCCAACAGGCACGCAACAGATGGAGTAGCGGTAACCGGAAGTAGACGGTGTTTTAAGCAGCGCGTCAGCGGAGACGTATGCCACGCGAGATGGAGAGGGGCATGGAAGGGTAAGTAGTTCTTAACAGAGAGAGAAAAGAAGATAGAAATGAGTCCCGTAACTGTCTGCATCATATGCGACACCTCAACAGTGGCTCACGAGGGATGGGGGTAAGGAGGGAGTAAAGGGACAGGGATAGAGATAGGCAGAAACAGAGAGACCCACAAACGGAAATAAGGAAAAGATGTGAAAGATGGAGACGGTCGCAGGAGTCTGAGGACGGGGCAACACTCGGCGAGAGCTCTTGTCGGCGTCAGGAGATTGTGTAGGGCGAGCCAGTCGGCCAGAGCTGCGCTGTCGTCGGAGATCGCGGGGACACAATCGATCGGCATGAAATCCAGCGAGCGAGTCCGGGCACGGGAGGGGCGCTCGGCGAGAGGGCAAAGCAGCGTGGAAAAGGGTACCATGAGAGGGGAGCGCAGGAGAGAGTAAAAGGTGTAGTCGTCGTAGTTTTGATAATCAAACGCGTCTAACTCCGTTGTTACTGCACCGTTTCGGAAAATTCTCATGGTTCTGTGTTCGTCGTGCACTCGTGCACAATTTTCCCACCACAACATAATTTCGTCCTCTGAGTAGTTTACGAGCCCTTTAACGTGCACCCAAATCCAAGCACACAAGCCTACAGCAATTTCACCTCCAGCGAAAATGCAGCCGCCGCATCCAGGATTCGATCCCGCGCCCTGTGGGTCAGCAGCCGAGCGCCTTAGTTACAAGACCACCGCAGCGGGGCTAGGCGATCCGTGCCTTTCTTCTTAATGTGAAACGCATCCAATAGCTTCACACAGTAATGTGTAGAATCTGAGGGTGATTGACAATGCCATACTGTCTCGCAAAAAATCTATGGCGGTAAAGTATTTTTATTGATGCATTTACCTGATTATGTCGGCACGACGGAACGGTGAAAGGGGGCGGCTGTATTAAAAAAAACGAACAAACAAATGAATTAAACACACCACAGAAACATTCGACTGCAGAGCTGGGGATATGGACACAATATAGGCACTTTCAATAACGGAAACAATTCCTAATACAATGAAGTTAAAAAAGAAGAATATGTGTAAAATCAATGAACACACACACACACACACACACACACACACACACACACACACACACACACACACACACACACACACACACACACACACACACACAAGAGAATATCTATCTATCTATCTATCTATCTATCTATCTATCTATCTATCTATCTATCTATCTATCTATCTGTCTGTCTGTCTGTCTGTCTGTCTGTCTTCTGTCTGTCTGTCTGTCTTATCATCTATCTATCTATCTATCTATCTATCTATCTATCTATCTATCTATCTATCTATCTATCTATCTATCTATCTATCTATCTATCTATCTATCTATCTATCTATCTATCTATCTATCTATCTGTCTGTCTGTCTGTCTGTCTGTCTGTCTGTCTGTCTATCTATCTATCTATCTATCTATCTATCTATCTATCTATCTATCTATCTATCTATCTATCTATCTATCTATCTATCTATCTATCTATCTATCTATCTGTCTAACTGTCTGTCTGTCTGTCTGTCTGTCTGTCTGTCTGTCTATCTATCTATCTATCTATCTATCTATCTATCTATCTATCTATCTATCTATCTATCTATCTATCTATCTATCTATCTATCTATCTATCTATCTATCTATCTATCCGACTTTACTTAATCACAAAGGGAACACCGCGAAACGTCACATGCTTAAAGTGAGCAATCCCAAAGAAGCATCACGTCACTTTCGCGTAAATTAATCGACATGATGTCTTTCTTTTGATATTTTTTCTATATCGGTTTTGGTGCAGTATATGCTCCAAGAAGGCCGGCTACAAGTGTTCCTCCGATGGTTTGAACTACTCCCAGCGCGATGGTCACCCCAGGTAACCACCTTTTTGTCATTTTCCCTCTTGAAACACTTGAGCTTGAGTGTCAGATTTTAAAATGCGCATATTTTAAAGCTTTCGCCAATCGGGCAGAGATGACGCTGCTTCATTTGGGCTTCAACGTGACATGTTGCATTTGCTTTATTCTGGCTGCCGTCGTCTGAGGTGACCACCTCACATCTTTTGCAACGAAATTGATAACTTTTTTTTTCTTGCGAGAATATCATTTCCTGCAACAAGTTTCGCCATTTATTCAATAAAGCTTTGTTTCCCGCCAAAATTAGAGTTTTGTGCGTGATAGTTGAGTGGGCCGAGACTTAGAGAAGGAGTATCTAGTGTTGGAAGTTCACGCTGGTGCCTCGGAATGGTTGCGCTTAGCCTTTTGGACTTGTACTTGTTCGCTAGTCGGCAATCACGCCGGCACAATATGGCCTCATAGAAAAAAAAGGCATGGTTCCTGCCAGAAAGAATCGACGCAAAAATGTCGCACATGATCCTAAAGTAATCAAGTTTTGTCTCGGTAAGTATTTATGACAGGAAAAGGGTACTCCTGATATACTTACCTGACCACCACCACCACAGGCTGAGATCCGTACTTCGAGCTCCGGCCTCTGCATAAAAAGTGTATATATGAAGAAATATTGTACACAATGGTAGAAAAATTCTTGACTTGGCAACGAGCAAATGTACACTATTTCGCTGTTATCAGCAATAGAACAAAAGTTAAGGCAAAAAATTATGAATAAAAACACATAGTTGGAAAACGGACGCGAATAATTAAGTATTTCTACAAGTCGTTCGACATCTTTCGAAAAACACGCTGCTTCCAGCAATTCTAGATGTCACCCAACAAGTAGCAAGTAAAGCACAGAACACCAACAGGAATGCCCGTGCCGCCACACCACGTGCTTCAACAATAAGAGTGGAGGCTCATGGCAGGACCAGCACGTGGCTACGTGTAAGAAGAAGAAAGCGACCAGTATAGGACTAGCCTGCGCGGGACAACTTTTGTGACAGGGTTTTGTTTTCAGCCGACGAGCGAAAGTAAGCCCTAATTACATAGTTGTTTTAGTAGCAGGCCATGCACTTGCTGGCTACAATATGTTGATTGATTTGTGGGGTTTAACGTCCTAAAACCACCGTGTGATTACGAGAGACGCCATAGTGGAGGGCTCCGGAAATTTCGACCACCTGGGGTTCTTTAACGTGCACCCAAATCTGAGTACACGGGCCTACAACATTTCCGCCTCCATCGGAAATGCAGCAGCCACAGCCGCGATTTGATCCCGCGACCTGCGGGTCAGCAGCCGAGTACCTTAGCCACTAGACCACCGTGGCGGGGCTCGCTACAATATGTATGTATGTATGTATGTATGTATGTATGTATGTATGTATGTATGTATGTATGTATGTATGTATGTATGTATGTATGTATGTATGTATGTATGTATGTATGTATGTATGTATGTATGTATGTATGTATGCATGCATGTATGTATGTATGTATGTATGTATGTATGTATGTATGTATGTATGTATGTATGTATGTATGTATGTATGTATGATGGGGGATCATGCAATTCGAGAACAATTTATAAAGGTAACTGTAACGGCAGTAAATTAGTGAGGGGAGGGTATTTATGCAGCACTGAATGTAGACTGAATTGTGTGGCCTCCCGCATGGCAGCTGAAGTGTTCCGAAAGGCATACTTGACATGCCCTCACTGGCGTGACAATGTTACGAGCGAATGGTTACGTCGTACTCGGAAATTGTAGCGTCTTTAGTTGACGAAAAAAACTGTGCCGTTGCATGGATCAAGCCTGGGGCTAACGCCTTCAAGGGCGGTCACTGGGCATGCCATAGCACGACCCTCACGGAATTCCGCATACCTGAACTGCAATGTTCAATGTTCACGTGCTTCATGTTGTCCATACATTAGGACTCCCCATGCTCATTTCTGGCTTTCTGGACATGCCCCGCTATAGGCGTGCGCACGATAAAGAAGTGGGGAGGGGGCGGGAGGAGGTGTTTCCACTCCTTCGATTTTCTGTAAAGGGCGCTTATAGTGTGCCCCGTATACGTATGCTCTTGGGGCCAATTTAGTTTGTGTGTGTTGTGAAGAGTTATGGCCTTGCAAGTTTTTGAAGATAGCGGTGGTCGAGAGCCACTGTTGTTGCTTTCCAAGAACAGTACGAATACCACCTTTAACCCCGCCGAAGCTGTGCGTCAAGCACGCCATTGAAGTTAGGTAATATCTTGATATACATTTTTTATCTATGCTAATGCCTGTATTTTTGTGGCCTTAACCAGTGGTGGCAAGGGTAGTGGGGAGAGAAAGGCAAGACTGCGCTGCGGTAAGTTTGCACCGCCCAGCCTTGTCCCCATGCATTTATGCAGAATTTCTGGCACACGTGTGCACTAAACTGGTAAAACCTCCTCCCTCCTCCCGAAGGACGTAGGTCCCGAATAGATGCCCGGTTCAAAAGGAATTTTGCAGTTAACAGGATAACATTCTGAGAAGAACGCATGGATTCCCCTAAAGGTCTCTATCGCGAACGGGGGCTTGCCATTATTTAAAAATGAGGTTATCTTCTTTACCAAACTTAACTGTATGTTGAAAAGCATTTGTTAACAGAAATCAGTGCCTTTACTTGACAAAGGTGGACGTGTATCTATTGTGTATTCCACTAGCTATTGGACTATGCCGATACAGATAAAAAATGGCTTTCTTTCAACATTATTCAGCACACGTTTAGTTCTTGTCATGTTCGTCAAGGTTTGTGATGACACATGAGAAAAACCTGATATACTGTTGATGTCAAGACAGTCAAGATAGTTCGTGTAGTTGATATTGCAATAAAATTTTTTTTTCGCCAACAGTTTCGGGAGGAGTCCTCACTTCGTTAGAGCCTATAGTCAAAAGTGTGATTCATCTGGTTGTATCATCAAGACTTGTTAGCTTTTTGTGCGTGGTCCTCGACAACGTACGGATGTTGAAATAAATATGATTTGATATCTGGTGTGCTGGTTTGTGTCGTTCGCATGGCCACCAAATGTTGATGCCGTGGCCATTGGTACGACTTTTCGGGCTCGTAGCGAAGGAGAAGCGTCTTCTAATCGGCTGCTTTCCTGTCTTTCCTCTTATCTATTCCTTATTGAATGACTTTGGAGTAACGGAGTGCAAGAAGTTTAAGCGGCAGCATTGTTCATGCTTTAGAGCAGCATTTTCACTCTAAACACGTACGGGCCACTATCGAAAAGCAAACAAGGCTAATGGTCGCATTTCTGCGCAGTAAAACATTTTTATTTTGGGCAAGTGAGTATTTACGAGTCGCTATTGAAGCAAGAAATTTTGAAATCAAATATCGGCACGTCAACTTCAAAATGGTCCTGCTTATATTTTTGAAGTTGTGGTATTTTGGACGCAGCTCTCTGTATGAAGGTAATTCAGTCATCAAGTGCTGGTACCAACCATCATCGGTATCATACCGTAGACAATCAAACCACAGCTGAAATAGAATGTGCGTTCGGCTAACATATTCTTGCCCGCAGACGTTAACATGTAGCGTGTATGTTACGTTACTCTAGTAAAAGTTGAGGTTTTCGGTGGTTTTGAATGATTTCATTGAAGAGCCTGCTTTTGATACACGTGTGGTAACTATGTGCGGGCCCACCTTCCAAGTAACTTTTTCGCACGGAGTGAACCCCGGATCAATTGTAGCTGGGTTCAGTTTGGAATCGATAAGAAGGTCCTCATGGTTTTCATGAGGTCGGTTCGATTCGCTTGCACCACGTGAACCAGTTCACGAGGTGCTGCACCTTACCATTCGTTTCAGCGGTGCAGCATTGACGACCGCTGAACCCTGCCATTCGTTTCGAAAGGTGCAGAAGAGGTGCAGCACCGGTTCACGATTTTCCTGCACCTCCTTCGCTGACGGTGCCGGCTTGGTGTAGGTGGCTTAGGCGCCGTACCCGCCTCTACAAATGCGGTGTGTTTTGCCAAGATGTTTGCGACTCATAAATTGTCCGCATGTGCGTTTCGCCATAGGTCAGTGTTTGCTGAATGGTGTAAATTTACCGAAAAGAAATAAGGCCAACACCTTGTCGGCACATCGTCATTTGTTTCGGGTGTCGTGCTGTGCCTGCACCGCTGAACTTACGCTGCACGATTTCTGAACTTCGCGTGCACAGCCGTGAACCGGTTCCTACCGGTGCAGGTGAATCGAACGGACCTATGATATGGCTAGACTCTTTAGGATTTCGTCTGTAGAAAAAATACACGCAGAACAGGAATTCTCTGGGCCCCTCTCCTCTTCAGCAAAGCTTCTCGCACCTTCCTTCTTGCTTCCTTTCACCCTCACTGCTGGTGCCTCTCTCTTTCGAAATCTTATTTCACTGGACACACGTCATGAAAATGCGGTGGCGCTGTCATCAAACGTTTGGTTTCGCATGGTAGGCAAAAGCCACTGCGCCTGCCGGAGTTGCCGCCGTGTTTTCGTTGGTGTGTGAGCTCTTTGTCGTCATGCCAACAAGAAAAGAAGAAGGAATGGTATAGTTGTGTTACGATAAGCAGTCACAGTCATTGTGATTTGCGCGGGAAGGCAGAAAAAAGATAGAGTACGTCTGTTATTTTTTTTTCAGTTTTCTGTTTATGAAGACCGTTGCGAGAAATTCGCCGCATCTGTAAAACGTGATCGAGAACTTGTCCTCAACGCAGGTTCATTGATTGTGTTTTGGAGCGGCTTACCAAGCAAAAAAAAGATTGTCAAGTGGTTCGTGCTGCAATGGGCCGCACCGCATTTCTTCGGAACAAGCCTTGCATGTAGGCGTATCACGTTTACCTCACACCACGTTACCTTTGTGAATGGTATTGTTATATGCGGACCAATATTCACTGTTTCCAAGGTTTATATAATGACATGAGATGCGTCAGAAGGATTTCGTTATACTCGCGTGAACTAAAGGTGTCGCTCGGTCGCAGAGCGCGTGTTTCTGCTGTTCATTCAAGCGGCATCGAACGAACAAATGACTTCGAGTATAATTTTCCTGATTGCATACGGCTGCGATGACACCTGAGTCTATCGGGTACGGCTATTCTGAGTGCAGTGCACTCCACAAGAATTTCGCGTCCATTGAATTCACGGGAAAACAGCACCCGCGAAACTAGTCGAGCCTCTTTATAGGCTGCACGCATCATGCCGTCTCAGAGTGAATTCACGAAGAGAGCCGCGCAGTTGGCAGGTGTGTAACCGCATTAGCCATTGCAGGCCGTTGAAGGATTATCGCAAGCGAATCTCGGGTTAAAGTATTACTGGCATCGCCCTTGCTGTTTTCATGAATAACTTCCCTGGCCCATTTGTTGTAAGCGAGAGCTAACGGCAGTGGTTCGTAAGCATATATGTTTTTACTACGCGCATTTGCATATCGCACCTAAAAACCTAGAATCGCTGAACTGGGTCGGTAGTTCTTGCATCAGTTGATAAATTAAAACGCACACGTGCGACCTAGACTGCTGCAACGGCGACGGCATTCCGCAAATGAGTCGCACTCATGCAGTGAAGATAACATTTTGATCAGGTTCTCAGAGCTAGAGCTTACACACCAACATGGCTCATATCATGTTCATTTCACAGTCACTCTTAGAGCCACTGCAACTTTCTCTGTTGCAGCCACCTTGTGTAAACATGCGGGAGGCATCCTGACGAAGGGAGCTGGATCCAATAAAGTTTATTCACTCACTCGCGTGATGACAGAGGGCAGCAGCGAGCATTAGGATGGGATGGCTGGGCGGAGCCAACGCGCCAAGGCGCCGCTACAAAGAACTTATATATATCGATGGTGCCCACCGCTGTTTACAATTGTAAAGTAGGTCTATAAACCAGACCACGCCCATCTCTCATCTGGACACCTAGACTCCCGGCGCATATCCTCGCACCCAGACGGCCATTTTGTTTTTACCTGCCAAGGCGTGTACCTGTTGCGCCAAATTAACATGGCAAGTGGCATCTCTATAAGACTTTAAGATACGGAAAAGCGCCCATTCAACCCACTCGATCCCGCTTACACGTATTCGTTTCGGTACGACTGCACCATTTTTGAATCAAGTAATTAACGCAAAAGGAAGATATTACTCTGCACTGAATGTGAATATCGACACACGACGTGTGAATCGTGCTGGTGTGGCATTTTCACATTGCACAGCTTTCCACTGACAACACAAAAACGTCGAGCGCCACTGCCAGTGAATAATTTCAATCAACAGGAAGTACTGTGAGCCCTGTAAAAGTATGCGAGTATATACATTTACGGCGTTTATTCAAACGTGACACCAGCTATTTTGTTGTGCAGCGGAAATGTGAGCACAGTGTGCCTATAGTATCTGGCATCAAAGTCATTGCCGTATTTGAAAATTGTAGATACTACGACTACCGCATGCCTTGACACACTGCGCGAGTTGAACACAAATATAACGCTATACTATCGCGAGGCAAATAAAGATGAAAAGTTGAAAGTGACCGGGGCACTTGACTCTGAGTTGAACATCTACATTAATTACCTATCGCTAAGCGAATCTGCTCCTCTAGGCGGCGTCGCCGTAGCGCTATAAAATCCTGCTCTGGTCGACACTTTCGCAACACGTGTGTGTTCAGAGTACCAGACATGACTTGCAAATAATAAACAGTCTTGGTGCCTAGTGCAAGCCGGAGCGGGATTCTATAGCGCTGTGGTGACGACGACTTAAAGCAAAAGTTTTGCCTATAACGACAGTCAAGACACGTTACAGTTCAACCGGGCGGAAAGCCATGCTTTCTGCTGTTCACGTTTATTCCCATCGCGATAGTACGTTACGGATAAAGTTGCTTCCTAAAACTTCAATGCACGTGATGTAGACATTTCGAACTGTCGAAAAAGGTCTTCTTGACGTTTTACTAGAAAACAGTACCAATTTCAAAAAAGGAAAAGCAAAAAACATACTTATAGCCGGATTCTGGTTGGAAAGTTTCGTGTTTGAAGTGCGGAACATCTGCTAGCATAGTAATTCAGGGTGTTGCTTCGCCGAGCTTGCGACAGATGGCGCGATGTGTGGCCTAAATATGGCGGCACACACTAAACTTGCTGTGTTCTGGTGTATACAATTGTCACAAACAAGTCGCCGGGTCTCTCGTACATTTGCATAAGACGACTGAAAGATGAATTGTCTCTTGTTTTGATTCGTAGACGATGTATTGCTCTTCCCCCACCTCTTTTTGCAGGATTACTGCACATAACGTGCTTTAGCACGGCCTCCGTGATCGCTCCACTATTGACCAAGCGAGGATGTAATAATAACGTCACAAAACATGGCGATCTGTAAGGTCTTTGTGACCTCGTCAGGGGTTACCTCACGTCACTCTTGTTGACGCCGCCATGATTCATCTGAGGCTTTCACCCTGTCGGCGGCGACATTTATCCAGCAGTCGTTCTAGCCATTCACCTCGCGTGACAGATATTGCGTTAGTGCTAAATGTGACAGAGATCATGCTATAGTGTGCAGAAAGTCATATTGCTGTTCATTATTTGCACGTTTCAGGCTGGGTGAAGGAATCGAGAAAGAAGTTCAGCGCGAGCACACGCGAATGTACACTGACGGCAGAGCGCTTCTGAGCTCAAGTATATGAGTCATATGCCTTAACGACGAAGTTGAGTGCGATCACGGCGTCTGGAGTGCCATCATTTATTTAAGTATTTGGTGCCGAAGAAGCGGGATTCAACACCTGGAACCTACGGATGGCTACCAATCAACTGCGACGACATGGAGCGACTGAAGTTGAAATGGACGTCGCGGTGAGCACAGAACACATAGATAATGAACGAGGTAAATGCTCTCATTGTTAACGACTCCAACTTATGACCAGCCCAGTTGCATTTATGAGAGGCTGAATGCTAACAACGGTGAGCTTAATAACGTGAACGCTGAGATCAAACAGCATTCTTATCGATATATATATATATATATATATATATATATATATATATATATATATATATATATATATATATATATATATATATATATATATATATATATATGACACATGTAAGGACCATTTCACGGAAAGACATAGAAATATCGTAAGGTACATCGCGTTAGTATACATCATGTAGAGATACTGATTGCTGATGGTGCAGATAGTGCTGGTTAATGATGGCTGTTATGGGCTAGTGATGCATGTTCTTGCCGCAATAGAAAGTTTATACCTACATTATTTTTCAAATGTTCAGTGGCGCGTCATATATCTTGCTCTATCGTTGCTAAGACAGCAGCGTTACTATTTTGAATAGTGTATTTTCCCGAAAGGTTGTGTTCTTCCGCGGTTGGTCAACTTTTATTGGTCTAAAGGGCTGCTTTGGCCCCTGTGCCTCGCTTAAAATGCCGCCTTTGAAAATCGGCCATGATTGGAGAAACTTGACAGCCTCGTGAAAGGAATCCCAGGTTTTAAACCTACAACGCACGTGGAAATAGCAGGAAGAGTGCCTGAGGCGAGAATACTTTCCTTTTTACCTTTTTTGGTAAAATTCGCATTTCGTGAGATCTTCGGCACACACATCCCGGTCGGGTTCGTACATCATCCCGTTGACGCATCGGCAGCTGCTCCCAGCTACCGAGCACGAGGTTCTATCGTCACCACACTCACATGGTGTACAGGAACTAAAATAAACGCAAAAATGGCGCGAATTAGGCTTAGGAAACATATATTTGTATGAAAGAAAAGCCTACTAAACGCGTAAGAGATCGAAATTAAGAAAAAAAATAACATGCATACAAATCACTTAAATGATTAACTCATTACATAGGAGCAGTGAGGTAGTCGTAAAGAAACAGCTCTGCATGCATATTGGAGTTATAAAAAAAGCGAGCTCAAATATAGAGTTAAAGGGACCCACAACTGGCCTGAAGGGGTGATTAAATTTCGGTGGAAAATATAACAGCATGAATTATGGTGACAGGTGACACCATAATTTACGCGTTCTGACTAGGATTTATATTTTTAATGTGCGTTCAAAAGTAACCATGGGTGGATAGATGGATGAATATGGCTGTACCCATTAGATCGGGCGGTGGCTAGCGCCACCAAGCCGAAATACTTAACGAACCAAAAACTAGATTTTTTCTTTAAATGGTGAGGCTGAGGATTCGTACTTTGAAGTGAAGGGTTTCATTTTCACTCGCGCCTTGACTATAGCCACCAGTCAGATAACCTCCCTCTAGTTAATTCTACCCGCTTAAAGTCTATTCTGCCCTCCCTGTCCCTAAACCCCAGTGCTTTGAAAAACTCTGCTCCATCATCCTGAACTATAGGGTGAAGTCCTTTACAGAACATTATCAAGTGTTCGACAGTTTCTTCTTCCTCTCCACACGCAGTGCATACCGTTGTTACCCCTTCGTATTTGGCCCGATATGTCTTGGTTCGCAATACTCCCGTCCTGGCCTCAAACAATAGAGAACTATCCCGAGTATTATGATGGATCCTTTGCTTGGCAATTTCTTTCTTAAAAGTTTGATAGATCTCTAGTGCGGACTTCTTAATCAGGCCGATTTTCCGCATATTGGTCTTGGCTTCCTTCACCTTCTTCTTCACCGATAATTCTTTTTGGTTTGGCCCCCTGCTGTTTTCTAAGTATTTACCAGTCAATTTTCAGGTTCGATTTCTCCATTTTGTATCGGCATTCTTCATGTACAAGTAGCTGAATACCTTCCTAGCCCAACGCTCCTCCCCCATTTCTCTCAATCACTTCTCAAACTTTATCTTGCTGCTAGCTGCCCTGCCCTTAAATGATGTCCATTCCACATAACCTTGTACTGCCTGATTTGGTGTACTCCCGTGAGCTCCTAAGGCAAGCGTATACCTATTCCACGTTGCTTGATTTCTAATCTTGCCTGAACTTCTGATCTCATGCACAAGACCACATTGCCGAACGTCACACCAGAAACCATGATCCCTTTCCATATTCCTCTCTCAACATCATACCTATTGTAATTCCACAGTGCCCTGTGTTTCATTACCACTGCATTCTCGTTACCTTTAGTCGTCACGTATATTTCGTGTTCCATTAGGTACTCAGCCCCATTGCTTATCCATACGCCCAGATAATTGTATTTATCTGTTATATCTAGTGTGACCTCCTGTATTTTAAGCTGACTACCTTCATTGTCATTAATAATCATGACTGCTGCTTTTTCCTCACAGTATCTGAAATCTAACCTATCTCCCTCATTACCGCAGATGTCCACCAATCTGCAAATCTTCCTTGTTGTCGGCCATTAGCACTATATCATCTGCGCACATTAATGCTGGTAGTGCCTGTTCAATGAGTTTTCCTTGTTTGACGAAAGAAAGGTTCAAGCGCAGTCCACTTCCCTCTAATTTAGCCTCTAATCTTTTTAGGTACATCACGAATAATAAGGGTGTCAGGGGACACCTCTGCCTAAGCCCCGTTTTACCTCTGCAGGCTGGGATACCTGTTTTTCCCAATTTATAATTACCTTGTTATCTTTATAGATATCCTTTAAAAGATTAGTGACTACATCTTCCACGCCAAGTGTGTCCAGTATTTGCCACAATTCCTCTTGAACCACGCTATCGTACGCTCCCTTGATATCCAAAAATGCTGGTTACAGGAGCCTGTGTTCTTTTTCTGCTATTTCGATGCACTGCGTCAGTGAGAACAGATTGTCTTCCAACCTCCTGTGTTTCCGAAACCCATTCTGCAGTTCCCCCAACACCCCCTCATCCTCTATCCACGCCTGCAGTCTTTCCTTTATAATCTGCATCGCCAGCCTGTAGACCACTGATGTCACTGTTATAGGACCAAACCGGTATATTCACGCCTCCTAGCGTCATAGCCATGAAACACACTTATAAAGTCCTAATAACTTTGCTGTGAATATTTGAAGCACACCGAAATAAGGGCTTACATATGGAATATGTATGTTATTCTTCATTTTCGATTGTTTCTTGGCGCCCCGCCACGGTGGTCTAGTGGCTAAGGTACTCGGCTGCTGACCCGCAGGTCGCGGGATCAAATCCCGGCTGTGGCGGCTGCATTTCCGATGGAGGCGGAAATGTTGTAGGCCCGTGTGCTCAGATTTGGGTGCACGTTAAAGAACCCCAGGTGGTCAAAATTTCCGGAGCCCTCCACTACGGCGTCTCTCATAATCAAATAGTGGTTTTGGGACGTTAAAACCCCACAAATCAATCAATTGTTTCTTAGCCTACAAAGTGAAAGAAGCACAACATGAAAAGTGGCGCTGCTTTCGTAGCCTCTGCAGGGAAACGGGTGCAGTTGTGCAAACGCGCGATACCGTGGCGTTTCCACAGTAGCTCAATTCGTTTCATGTCGGGTGCGTTCAAGAAGCAAAGCTTTTGAATGCGATCGCTGCGGCGCGCGAAATGCCGCCAGTCTAGCGCTCTGTGGAGAATAGCTTCATGCGTGCGGCTGGTGGTGGCGGTCCGTCGAATTCGTCGCTACCGCTATCGTCTGTCTAAACGTGTCGCTCTGGCGCTACTTGATAGTGGTTCTAATTTCGCCCTCGCACGCAAGCCAAAATTCGTTCCTCTAACTCGCTCAAGTTGTCAAGCGATGACATCGAAGCCGACAAACTACGGCCAAACGTGAACTAATATGCGCGAATTGTCGATCGCGTGTAAACGTGCCGTTTCCTTTTCAAAGACTTGTCTTGGCTCGACTTGGCTAAAGTTGGAAAAACTACCCATGCACGGCCAAAAGTACTTGCTTAAGAAGCCCCGGGAAAGTGCTGTAAGCCTTGTAATCTAACTTAGCACGCTAAGAAGAAGTGGTTGCGGGACTGCAGGCTTGACTAGACATTATTACGTTTTCGTACTTAGAGATTCACTTTTCCTCACTGCTGGCGTTACACTGGCTTATAATAGCTATCGCGATCACATCCACTGTTTGCAGCACGCCTTTTTAAAAGACTGCATAATCGCTTCAAATCAAGAAAGTTCCGATTATAAATGTTCTACAGTGTTTTCTGCGTTACCATTGCCTGATTACAAGCTCTTACAGGTAAGCTTTCCGTTGCACTCAAGAACACGGGTGCCATAATTATCGGTTGTGGGTCCCTTTAAAGATATTCTCAGTTGAAATATCATCTTTCTTCATTCGGTGAAAGAACAAAAGAAAATAAATGACGCCGCATTTATAGTACGCTAGTCTACCATGCATTACAAATTTTTCACAGCTTTTGAGAAGATTCACAGAGGATTCATGGTTCACCGGAATGAACATCTGGATCAAACTCCTTCATTATCATTCCCCTGATGAATATATTGTTCTATGGCAGGTTCGGTCGCAGTCAGTGCCCCTTATAATTTCGGCGATGTCCCTGTGCTAGTCATATTATGCGAGGTTTTACGTCCAAAACCCATGCTGCATAATTCTGCTAGCATAGTAAGCACATCTGCTAGCATAGTAATTCAGGGTGTTGCTTCGCCGAGCTTGGGACAGATGGCGCGATGTGGGGCCTAAATATGGCGGAGCACACTAAACTCGCTGTGTTCTGGTGTATACAATTGTCACAAACAACTCGCGGGGTCTCTCGTACATTCGCATAAGACGAATGAAAGGTGAATTGTCTCTTGTTTTGCTTCGTAGACGATGTATTGCTCCTCCCCTACCTCTTTCTGCAGGATTCCTGCACCTAACGTGCTTTAGCATGGCCTCCGTGATCGCTTCACTATTGACCAAGCGAGGATGTAATGACGACGTCACAAAACATGGCGATCTGTAAGGTCTTGGTGACCTCGTCAGGGGTTACCTCCCGTCACTCTTGTTGACGCCGCCATTGTTCATCTGAGGCTTTCACCCTGTCGGCGGTGACATTTATGAAGCAGTCGTTCTAGCCATTCACCTCACGTGACAGATATTGCATTAGTGATAAATGTGACAGAAATCATGCTATACTGTGCAGAAAGTCATATTGCTGTTGATTATTTGCGCGTTTTAGGCTGGGGGAAGGAATCGAGAAAGAAGTTCAGCGCGAGCGTACGCGAATGTACACTGACGGCAGAGCGCTTCTGAGCTCAAGTATATTAGTCATATGCCTTAACGACGAAGTTGATTGCGATCACGGCGTCTTTAGTGCCATCATTTATTTAACTATTTGGTGCCGAAGAAGCGGGATTCAAAACCAGGAACCTACGGATGGCTACCAATCAACTGCGACGACATAGAGCGACTGAAGTTGAAATGGACGTCGCGGCGAGCACAGAACACGTAGATAATGAACGAGGTAAATGCTCTCATTGTTAACGACTCTAACTTATGACCAGCCCAGTTGCATTTATGAGAGGCTAAATGCTAACAACGGTGAGCTTAATAACGTGAACGCTGAGATCAAACAGCATTCTTATCGATATATATATATATATGACACATATAAGGACCATTTCACGGAAAATACGTAGAAATATCGTAATGGTACATCGCATTAGTATACATAACACATAATGTAGAGGAACTGATTGCTCATGGTGGCAGATAGTGCTGGTTAATGATGGCTTTTATCGTCTAGTGATGCCTGTTCTTGCCGCAATAGAAAGTTTATACTTACATTATTTTTCAAATGTTCAGTGGCGCGTCATATATCTTGCTCTCTCATTGCTAAGACAGCAGCGTTACTACTTTGAATAGTGTATTTTCCCGAAAGGTTGTGTTCTTCCGCGGTTGGTCAACTTTTATTGGTCTAAAGGGCTCCTTTAGCCCCTGTGCCTCGCTTAAAATGCCGCCTTTGAAAATCGGTTAAGATTGGAGAAACTTGACAGCCTCGTGAAAGGAATCCCACGTTTCAAAACTACAACGCACGCGGAAATAGCAGGAAGAGTGTCTGAGGCGAGAATACTTTTCTTTTTACCTTTTTGTGTAAAATTCGCATTTCGCGAGATCTTCGGCACACACATCCCGGTCGGGTTCGTACATCATCCCGTTGACGCATCGGCAGCTGCTCCCAGCTACCGAGCACGAGGTTCTATCGTCACCACACTCACATGGTGTACAGGAACTAAAATAAACACAAAAATTGCGCGAATTAGTCTTAGGAAACATATATTTGTATAAACAAAAGCCTACTAAACGCGTAAGAGATAGAAATTAAGAAAATAAATAACATATACAAATCACCTAAATGATTACCTCATTACATAGGAGCATTGAGGCAGTCGTAGAGAAACAGCTCTGCATGCATATTGGAGTTATAAAAAAAGTGAGCTCAAATATAGAGTTAAAGGGACCCACAACTGGCCGGAGCGGGTGATTAAGTTTTGGTGGAAAATAAAAGAGCATGAATTATGGTGACAGGTGACAGCATAATTTACGCGATCTGAGTAGAATTTATATATATTTTCAAATCACGTTCAAAAGTAACCATGGGTGGATGGATGGATGAATATGGCTGTGCCCTTTTGATCAGGCGGGGGCTAGCGCCACCAAGCCGAAATACTTAATGAACCAAAAACTAGATTTTTTTTTAAATAGTGAGGTTGAGGATTCGTACTTTGCAGTGAAGGGTTTCATTTTCACTCGCGCCTTGACTTTAGCCACCAGTCAGATAACCTCCTTCTAGTTAATTCTACCCGCTTAAAGTCTATTCTGCCCTCCCTGTCCCTAAACCCCAGTGCTTTGAAAAACTCTGCTCCATCATCCTGAACTATAGGGTGAAGTCCGTTACAGAACATTACCAAGTGTTCGACAGTTTCTGCTTCCTCTCCACACGCAGTGCATACCGTTGTTACCCCTTCGTATTTGGCCCGATATGTCTTGGTTCTCAATACTCCCGTCTTGGCCTCAAACAGTAGAGAACTATTCCGAGTATTATGATAGATCCTTTGCTTGGCAATTTCTTCTTAAAAGTTTGATAGATCTCTAGTGCGGACTTCTTAATCAGGCCGATTCTTCGCATATCGGTCTTGGCTTCCTTCACCTTCTTCTTAACCGATAATTCTTTTTGGTTTGGCCCCCTGCTGTTTTCTAAGTATTTACCAGTCAATTTCAGGTTCGATTTCTCCATTTTGTATCGACATTCTTCATGTACAAGTAGCTGAATACCTTCCTAGCCCAACGCTCTTCCCCCATTTCTCTCAATCACTTCTCAAACTTTATCTTGCTGCTAGCTGCCCTGCCCTCAAATGATGTCCATTCCATATCACCTTGTACTGCCTGATTTGGTGTACTCCCGTGAGCTCCTAAGGCAAGCGTATACCTATTCCACGTTGCTTGATTTCTAATCTTGCTTGAACTTCTGATCTCATGCACAAGACCACATTGCCGAACGTCAGACCAGAAACCATGACCCCTTTCCATATTCCTCTCACAAAATCGTACCTATTGTAATTCCACAGTGCCCTGTATTTCATTACCGCTGCATTCTTGTTACCTTTAGTCGTCACGTATATTTCGTGTTCCATTAGGTACTCGGCCCCATTGCTTATCCATACGCCCAGACATTTGTATTTATCTGTTATATCTAGTGTGACCTCCTGTATTTTAAGCTGACTACCTTCATTGTCATTAATAATCATGACTGCTGCTTTTTCCTCACAGTATCTGAAATCTAACCTATCTCCCTCATTACCGCAGACGTCCACTAATCTGCAAATCTTCCTTGTTGTCGGCCATTAGCACTATATCATCTGCGCACAACAATGCTGGTAGTGCCTGTTTAATGAATTTTCCTTGTTTGACGAAAGAGAGGTTCAAGCCCAGTTCACTTCCCTCTAATTTGGCCTCTAATCCTTGTAGGTACATCACGAATAATAAGGGTGTCAGGGGACACCCCTGCCTAAGCCCCGTTTTACCTCTGCAGGCTAGGATACCTGTTTTTCCCACTTTATAATTACCTTGTTACCTTTATAGATATCCTTTAAAAGATTAGTGACTACATTTTGCAGCCAAGTGTGTCCGGTATTTGCCACAATTCCTCTTGAACCACGCTATTGTACGCTCCCTTGATATCCAAAAATGCTAGCCACAGGAGCCTGTGTTCCTTTTCTGCTATTTAGATGCACTGCGTCAGTGAGAACAGATTGTCTTCCAACATCCTGTGTTTCCGAAACCCCTTCTGTAGTTCCCCCAGCACTTCTCGTCTTCTATCCGTGCCTGCAGTCTTTCCTTTATAATCTGCATCGCCAGCCTGTAGACCACCGATGTCACTGTTATAGGACGGTAGTTGTTTATAACAGCTTTGTCTCCCTTTTCGTTATAGATCATGCTCATCCTGCTAAGTTTTGATCCATCGGGAACTTCCCCATCGATTATTATTTCGCTCACTGCCTCTCTCAAAGCTTGCTTAGACTTCGGACCTAACGTCTTTATCAGCATAATTGGAATGCCATCTGGGCCTGTTGATGTACTACTAGGCACCCTTTTCTCAGCCTTTCCCACTCTCATTGTGAAAATGGAGCCATTGCACCACTTGATTCGTCCTTGTCTATTGTGGTGCATAAAGTACTTCTTTGTTGAAATTTTTCTGTCACCCTTGTTCTTATATATTCAATAGCTTCGTCCCCTTCTAGCCTAGCACCTTGGGCTGTAGTTATAAAATTCTGCTCTAGGCTCGTCTCATTTCTTAGGGAGTTTAGATGGTTCCAAAATTCCACAGCTGCCTTTTTATCTTTTTTTGTACTTCGGTCAGCGCTGGGCTCCTTTTCTTCTTACCTTTTCATTGATCACAAGGAATGCATCCCTTTTACAGCTTAGAAAGATTTCCCATTTTCTTTCATCATCTGTCGGTTCACCCCACTGCTTAGCATGTCTGTGTTGCCTAGAGGCTTCCTGACGTTTTGCTATGGCTTTGTTAACTTCCTCATTCCACCAACTTTTGGATTTGTGTCTTCTTTTCCGGGATGACTTGTCACGTGCCTTAGCAAGCCCTAGCTCAAACAGTCTAATTAGATTCGTGTATGTCCACAGTGTTTCATTATCCTCAGTGATTACTTTCTCAATTTGTTTAGTGGCTATTTCAATTTGCCTTTCTGCATGAAAATTTTCCTGTAGTTGCTCATTGTGTCTCCTTACCACTTTCACTGCTCTTCCAAAACTTAGCTTTATATGTTTGTGATCACTAACCATACTTCTGGAGCCGCCTTCATCTATGTGCATTCCCCTGAGCTTATCATACATCCTATGTGACATCAGTGCCTAATCTATCGTCGACTGCAGCCATCCTACCTCCCATGTTATTTGCTCTCCACACTTCTCGGTACTGTTGCAAATTATAAAATATAGCCTTTCACACATATCCATGATCATTTTGCCTGTCGGATCGGTATACCCATCTATATTTCCTATGTGCGCATTCATATCTCCTAGTATATTTATCTCGCACTCTCCTCCTAACTCCTGAATATCATTTGATAATACACTATACCATTGCCTGGTTTTCCTCTCTGGCCTCTGCTCCCGTCCCCAAGTAAACGAAACCAAGGAATGTTATTTGCCTTGCCCCTTTCCCATTTAGCCATAAATGTTCCTTGCACTCCTGCTTGACCCTTTGCCAGTCTGTACTTTTATGAATGAATGCCCCAAATCACCCCCCTTCCTGCTGCCTTCTGTTCTATTACAATATTCCCACGCGCAGTCCGCATTGTTAGGAGGTTGTTCCATGTCTCTGAGATGTGTTTCTACAAAATCGTATAGCATTGGCCTCTCTTGCCTTAGCTGTTCTCTTAACTCTTCCCACTTCAACCTGTTCCTACCACCCTGCATGTTAATATACCCTTTGTCTGAATTGGCTCGGCGCTCGTGGCTACGTCTATTTCAGCCCCGGACTCTACCTATCTTAGATACTGGTGCCACTTTGGAATCGTATCTGTCCATACCACCTAAGAAGGACTCTCCCTGGTTGTTTTTTTCTTTACTATCCTGCCCCCCGAAGGGCCCGCTTGCCCCCCCCCCCCAAAAAGCTACTGCGCGTCCTGCAAGTCGCCAACCCCCCTCATGATCTAGCCGCCTATCGAAGTGAATTCTGTCTCGTTGAAAACTACCCCAACTATGCACCTCTCTGTTTATTTCCACCACCTCAAAGCCTTTCTCTCGACTCATCCGCTATATCTCTTGGTTTGCGTTGACAACCGCTCTTTGCAGGTTGCTGTCATGCACCGGTACCTCCGGTATCGTGCATATTACTACCTCTACTTGAGGAGAAGTGGCGCGCATGTCATCGACGCCTTTCACCAGTGTGGTTGCTAGTCTTGCTCTATCTTCATTTAAGACATCGTTTAAACCACCTGAAATTATCACGAGGTTTCGTCTATCAGCTGTAGTTTTGAATTTTGCGCTCGCTTGCCTCATGACTGCTTCCAGTTTGCGTCCTTGAAACGCCCCTACTGCAACCCTCTTGTCACCTCTTACCCTCTCTTTGATGGCTTCGGTGCATCGATTTAAATTCGAGTCCCCGACGATTATCACATGCTGTGACTTTTCAGCTGGAGCGCCCCGCACATAGGTGTTACTTGCACCTGTCACGCCGGCTACTTTGTCCCCTCCCAGGCGCACCACTACTTCGCTGAAGCTGGGTCTTGCTACCTTTGAACCGGCTGAACCTGTTTTTTCCAAACTTGCTTGCTGTTTCTTCACCGCCGTTCTGGTTGCCGGTTCTCTACTGTTCTCTTCGTAGGCCGCCGCTGTGTTCACCTTGGCTAGTGCTTCCTCGGCGGACTTCAGCCTTTCTCCCATAGCCCTCGTTTTCCCTTGCTCTGTCGCCAACGCAGTCTCGAGCTCGGTGATTCTCGTCAGCAGGTCACTCGGGGCAACCATCATTTTCTCCATTTTTTCCTCGCCCTCTCATTGCAAACAGTTCACGTCAGCCTCTTCTCCTTCCGCTTCTACAGTTGGGTCCACTTTCAAACCCACCCCACATCCTGAACACTTTAGTCTTTTTAACCACGTCTTTTCGACACTAATTTTTCCTTTGACTTGTCTCACTCGATAATTACAAAACTCGAGCCCTGCTCAACGAAAAAGAGAAAGTCTAAGCTCTACTACAAAAATTTGCGTGTTTAATGTACGTGAACCTCCCCAACAGGGTGGCAAAAAAACAAAAAATTCAAACACACACACACGCACAAACTAATAAATACCTGATGACTGACCACCAAAAAGCCGTACAATAAAAATATGTGCTACAGGGTTTTTAACTGCTGCCTTATATTTATAAAGACAAGCTCAAAACATGCAAAGCTACTGATCTTCGCAGTCAATCGGGAGCGCTAAAAAACACGTCCATCCACCGTGACAGTCCAAACCAAAAACCGGCATATTCACGCCTCCTAGCGTCATAGCCATGAAACACAATTATAAAGTCCTAATAACTTTGCTGTGAGTATTTGAAGCGCAACGAAATAAGGGCTTACATTTGGAATATGTATGTTATTCTTCATTTTCGATTGTTTCTTGGCCTACAAAGTGAAAGAAGCACAACATGAAAAGTGGCGCTGCTTTCGTAGCCTCTGCAGGGAAACGGGTGCAGTTGTGCAAACGCGCGATACCGTGGCGTTTCCACAGTAGCTCAATTCGTTTCATGTCGGGTGCGTTCAAGAAGCAAAGCTTTTGAATGCGATCGCTGCGGCGCGCGAAATGCCGGTGTCTACCGCTCTGTGGAGAATAGCTTCATGCGTGCGGCTGGTGGTGGCGGTCCACCGAATTCGTCGCTACCGCTATCGTCTGTCTAAACGTGTCGCTCTGGCGCTACTTGATAGTGGTTCTAATTTCGCCCTCGCACGCAAGCCAAAATTCGTTCCTCTAACTCGCTCAAGTTGTCAAGCGATGACATCGAAGCCGACAAACTACGGCCAAACGTGAACTAATATGCGCGAATTGTCGATCGCGTGTAAACGTGCCGTTTCGTTTTCCAAGACTTGTCTTGGCTCGACTTGGCTAAAAATTGGAAAAACTACACGTGCACGGGCAAAAGTACTTGCTTAAGAAGCCCCGGGAAAGTGCTGTAAGCCTTGTAATGTAACTTAGCACGCTAAAAAGCAGTGGTCGCGGGACTGCAGGCTTGACGAACACATTATTACGTTTTTGTACTTAGAGATTCACTTTTCCTCACTGCTGGCGTTACACTGGCTTATAATAGCTATTGCGATCACATCTACTGTTTGCAGCATGCCCTTTTAAGAGTGCGTAATTGCTGAAAATCACAAAAATTATTCTCATTATAAATGTTCCACGGTGTTTTCCGCGTTACAATTGCGTGATTACAAGCTCTTATAGGTAAGCTTTTCGTTGCACTCAAGAAAACGGGTGCCATAAATATCGGTTGTGGGTCCCTTTAAAAATATCCTCAGTTGGGAATATCATCTTTCTTCACTCGGTCAAAGAACAAAAGAAAATAAATGACGCCGCATTTATAGTACGCTAGTCTACCATGCATTACAAATTTTTCACAGCTTTTAAGAAGATGCACAGAGGATTCATGGTTCACCGGAATGAACATCTGGATCAAACTCCTTCATCATCATTCCCCTGATGAATATATTGTTCTATGGCAGGTTCGGTCGCAGTCAGTGCCCCTTATAATTTCGGCGATGTCCCTGTGCTAGACATATTATGCGAAGTTTTATGTCCAAAACCCATGCTGCATAGTAATTCTGCTAGCATAGTAAGCACATCTGCTAGCATAGTAATTCAGGGTGTTGCTTCGCCGAACTTGGGATAGATGGCGCTATGTGGGGCCTAAATATGGCGGAACACACTAAACTCGCTGTGTTCTGGTGTATACAATTGTCACAAACAACTCGCGGGGTCTCTCGTACATTCGCATAAGGCGACTGAAAGGTGAAACGCATCTTGTTTTGCTTCGTAGACGATGTATTGCTCCTCCCCTACCTCTTTCTGCAGGATTCCTGCACCTAACGTGCTTTAGCATGGCCTCCGTGATCGCTTCACTATTGACCAAGCGAGAATGTAATGACGACGTCACAAAACATGGCGATCTGTAAGGTCTTGGTGACCTCGTCAGGGGTTACCTCCCGTCACTCTTGTTGACGCCGCCATGATTCATCTGAGGCTTTCACCCTGTCGCCGGCGACATTTATCCAGCAGTCGTTCTAGCCATTCACCTCACGTGACAGATATTGCGTTAGTGCTAAATGTGACAGAAATCATGCTATACTGTGCAGAAAGTCATATTGCTGTTGATTATTTGCGCGTTTTAGGCTTGGGGAAGGAATCGAGAAAGAAGTTCAGCGCGAGCGTACGCGAATGTACACTGACGGCAGAGCGCTTCTGAGCTCAAGTATATTAGTCATATGCCTTAACGACGAAGTTGAGTGCGATCACGGCGTCTGGAGTGCCATCATTTATTTAACTATTTGGTGCCGAAGAAGCGGGATTCAAAACCAGGAACCTACGGATGGCTACCAATCAACTGCGACGACATGGAGTGACTGAGGTTGAAATGGACGTCGCGGCGAGCACAGAACACGTAGATAATGAACGAGGTAAATGCTCTCATCGTTAACGACTCTAACTTATGACCAGCCCAGTTGCATTTATGAGAGGCTGAATGCTAACAACGGTGAGCTTAATAACGTGAACGCTGAGATCAAACAGCATTCTTATCGATATATATATATATATGACACATATAAGGACCATTTCACGGAAATACGTAGAAATATCGTAATGGTACATCGCATTAGTATACATAACACATAATGTAGAGGAACTGATTGCTGATGGTGGCAGATAGTGCTGGTTAATAATGGCTCTTATCGTCTAGTGATGCCTGTTCTTGCCGCAATAGAAAGTTTATACTTACATTATTTTTCAAATGTTCAGTGGCGCGTCATATATCTTGCTCTCTCATTGCTAAGACAGCAGCGTTACTACTTTGAATAGTGTATTTTCCCGAAAGGTTGTGTTGTTCTTCCGCGGTTGGTCAACTTTTATTGGTCTAAAGGGCTCCTTTAGCCCCTGTGCCTCGCTTAAAATGCCGCCTTTGAAAATCGGTTAAGATTGGAGAAACTTGACAGCCTTGTGAAAGGAATCCCACGTTTCAAAACTACAACGCACGCGGAAATAGCAGGAAGAGTGTCTGAGGCGAGAATACTTTTCTTTTTACCTTTTTGTGTAAAATTCGCATTTCGCGAGATCTTCGGCACACACATCCCGGTCGGGTTCGTACATCATCCCGTTGACGCATCGGCAGCTGCTCCCAGCTACCGAGCACGAGGTTCTATCGTCACCACACTCACATGGTGTACAGGAACTAAAATAAACACAAAAATGGCGCGAATTAGTCTTAGGAAACATATATTTGTATAAACAAAAGCCTACTAAACGCGTAAGAGATAGAAATTAAGAAAATAAATAACATATATACAAATCACCTAAATGATTACCTCATTACATAGGAGCATTGAGGCAGTCGTAGAGAAACAGCTCTGCATGCATATTGGAGTTATAAAAAAAGTGAGCTCAAATATAGAGTTAAAGGGACCCACAACTGGCCGGAGCGGGTGATTAAGTTTTGGTGGAAAATAAAAGAGCATGAATTATGGTGACAGGTGACAGCATAATTTACGCGATCTGAGTAGAATTTATATATATTTTCAAATCACGTTCAAAAGTAACCATGGGTGGATGGATGGATGAATAAGGCTGTGCCCTTTTGATCGGGCGGGGGCTAGCGCCACCAAGCCGAAATACTTAATGAACCAAAAACTAGATTTTTTTTTTTAGAGTCAGGTTGAGGATTCGTACTTTGCAGTGAAGGGTTTCATTTTCACTCGCGCCTTGACTTTAGCCACCAGTCAGATAACCTCCTTCTAGTTAATTCTACCCGCTTAAAGTCTATTCTGCCCTCCCTGTCCCTAAACCCCAGTGCTTTGAAAAACTCTGCTCCATCATCCTGAACTATAGGGTGAAGTCCGTTACAGAACATTACCAAGTGTTCGACAGTTTCTGCTTCCTCTCCACACGCAGTGCATACCGTTGTTACCCCTTCGTATTTGGCCCGATATGTCTTGGTTCTCAATACTCCCGTCTTGGCCTCAAACAGTAGAGAACTATTCCGAGTATTATGATAGATCCTTTGCTTGGCAATTTCTTTCTTAAAAGTTTGATAGATCTCTAGTGCGGACTTCTTAATCAGGCCGATTCTTCGCATATCGGTCTTGGCTTCCTTCACCTTCTTCTTAACCGATAATTCTTTTTGGTTTGGCCCCCTGCTGTTTTCTAAGTATTTACCAGTCAATTTCAGGTTCGATTTCTCCATTTTGTATCGACATTCTTCATGTACAAGTAGCTGAATACCTTCCTAGCCCAACGCTCTTCCCCCATTTCTCTCAATCACTTCTCAAACTTTATCTTGCTGCTAGCTGCCCTGCCCTCAAATGATGTCCATTCCATATCACCTTGTACTGCCTGATTTGGTGTACTCCCGTGAGCTCCTAAGGCAAGCGTATACCTATTCCACGTTGCTTGATTTCTAATCTTGCTTGAACTTCTGATCTCATGCACAAGACCACATTGCCGAACGTCAGACCAGAAACCATGACCCCTTTCCATATTCCTCTCACAACATCGTACCTATTGTAATTCCCCAGTGCCCTGTGTTTCATTAACGCTGCATTCTTGTTACCTTTAGTCGTCACGTATATTTCGTGTTCCATTAGGTACTCGGCCCCATTGCTTATCCATACGCCCAGACATTTGTATTTATCTGTTATATCTAGTGTGACCTCCTGTATTTTAAGCTGACTACCTTCATTGTCATTAATAATCATGACTGCTGCTTTTTCCTCACAGTATCTGAAATCTAACCTATCTCCCTCATTACCGCAGACGTCCACTAATCTGCAAATCTTCCTTGTTGTCGGCCATTAGCACTATATCATCTGCGCACAACAATGCTGGTAGTGCCTGTTTAATGAATTTTCCTTGTTTGACGAAAGAGAGGTTCAAGCCCAGTTCACTTCCCTCTAATTTGGCCTCTAATCCTTGTAGGTACATCACGAATAATAAGGGTGTCAGGGGACACCCCTGCCTAAGCCCCGTTTTACCTCTGCAGGCTAGGATACCTGTTTTTCCCACTTTATAATTACCTTGTTACCTTTATAGATATCCTTTAAAAGATTAGTGACTACATCTTGCAGCCAAGTGTGTCCGGTATTTGCCACAATTCCTCTTGAACCACGCTATTGTACGCTCCCTTGATATCCAAAAATGCTAGCCACAAGGAGCCTGTGTTCCTTTTCTGCTATTTAGATGCACTGCGTCAGTGAGAACAGATTGTCTTCCAACATCCTGTGTTTCCGAAACCCCTTCTGTAGTTCCCCCAGCACTTCTCGTCTTCTATCCGTGCCTGCAGTCTTTCCTTTATAATCTGCATCGCCAGCCTGTAGACCACCGATGTCACTGTTATAGGACGGTAGTTGTTTATAACAGCTTTGTCTCCCTTTTCGTTATAGATCATGCTCATCCTGCTAAGTTTTGATCCATCGGGAACTTCCCCATCGATTATTATTTCGCTCACTGCCTCTCTCAAAGCTTGCTTAGACTTCGGACCTAACGTCTTTATCAGCATAATTGGAATGCCATCTGGGCCTGTTGATGTACTACTAGGCACCCTTTTCTCAGCTCTTTCCCACTCTCATTGTGAAAATGGAGCCATTGCACCACTTGATTCGTCCTTGTCTATTGTGGTGCATAAAGTACTTCTTTGTTGAAATTTTTCTGTCACCCTTGTTCTTATATATTCAATAGCTTCGTCCCCTTCTAGCCTAGCACCTTGGGCTGTAGTTATAGAACTCTGCTCAAGGCTCGTCTCATTTCTTAGGGAGTTTAGATGTTTCCAAAATTTCACAGCTGCTTTTTTATCTTTTTTTTGTACTTCGGCCAGCGCTGAACTCCTTTTCTTCTAATCTTTTCATTGATCACAAGGAATGCATCCCTTCTACAGCTTAGAAAGATTTCCCATTTTCTTTCAACATCATCTGTCGGTTCACCCCACTGCTTAGCATGTCTGTGTTCCCTAGAGGCTTCCTGACGTTTTGCTATGGCTTTGTTAACTTCCTCATTCCACCAACTTTTGGATTTGTGTCTTCTTTTCCGGGATGACTTGTCACATGCCTTAGCAAGCTCTAGCTCAAACAGTCTAATTAGATTCGTGTATGTCCACACTGTTTCATTATCCTCAGTGATTACTTTCTCAATTTGTTTAGTGGCTATTTCAATTTGCCTTTCTGCGTGAAAAATTTCCTGTAGTTGCTCCTCTTGTCTCCTTACCAATTTCACTGCTCTTCCAAAACTTAGCTTTATATGTTTGTGATCACTAACCATACTTCTGGAGCCACCTTCATCTATGTGCATTCCCCTGAGCTTATCATACATCCTATGTGACATCAGTGCCTAATCTATCGTCGACTGCAGCCATCCTACCTCCCATGTTATTTGCTCTCCACACTTCTCGGTACTGTCGCAAATTATAAAATATAGCCTTTCACACATATCCATGATCATTTCCTGTCGGATCGGTATACCCATCTATATTTCCTATGTGCGCATTCATATCTCCTAGTATATTTATCTCGCACTCTCCTCCTAACTCCCGAATATCATTTGATAATACACTATACCATTGCCTGGTTTTCCTCTCTGGCCTCTGCTCCCGTCCACAAGTAAACGAAACCAAGGAATGTTATTTGCCTTGCCCCTTTCCCATTTAGCCATAAATGTTCCTTGCACTCCTGCTTGACCCTTTGCCAGTCTGTACTTTTATGAATGAATGCCCCAAATCACCCCCCTTCCTGCTGCCTTCTGTTCTATTACAATATTCCCACGCGCAGTCCGCATTGTTAGGAGGTTGTTCCATGTCTCTGAGATGTGTTTCTACAAAATCGTATAGCATTGGCCTCTCTTGCCTTAGCTGTTCTCTTAACTCTTCCCACTTCAACCTGTTCCTACCACCCTGCATGTTAATATACCCTTTGTCTGAATTGGCTCGGCGCTCGTGGCTACGTATATTTCAGCCCCGGACTCTACCTATCTTAGATACTGGTGCCACTTTGGAATCGTATCTGTCCATACCACCTATGAAAGACTCTCCCTGGTTGTTTTTTTCTTTACTATCCTGCCCCCCGAAGGGCCCTCTTGCCCCCCCCCCCCCAAAAAAGCTACTGCGCGTCCTGCAAGTCGCCAACCCACCTCATGACCTAGCCGCCTATCGAAGTGAATTCTGTCTTGTTGAAAACTACCCCAACTATGTTCCTCTCTGTTTATTTCCACCACCTCAAAGCTTTTCTCTCTACTCATCCGCTATATCTCTTGGTTTGCGTTGACAACCGCTCTTTGCAGGTTGCTGTCATGCACCGGTACCTCCGGAATTGTACATATTACTACCTGTACTTGAGGAGAAGTGGCGCGCATGTCATCGACGCCTTTTACCAGTGTGGTTGCTAGTCTTGCTCTATCTTCATTTAAGACATCGTTTAAACCACCTGAAATTATCACGAGGTTTCGTCTATCAGCTGTAGTTTTGAATTTTGCGCTCGCTTGCCTCATGACTGCTTCCAGTTTGCGTCCTTGAAACGCCCCTACTGCAACCCTCTTGTCACTTCTTACCCTCTCTCTGATGGCTTCGGTGCATCGATTTAAATTCGAGTCCCCAACGATTATCACATGCTGTGACTTTTCAGCTGGAGCGCCCCGCACATAGGTGTTACTTGCACCTGTCACGCCGGCTACTTTGTCCCCTCCCAGGCGCACCACTACTTCGCTGAAGCTGGGTCTTGCTACCTTTGAACCGGCTGAACCTGTTTTTTCCAAACTTGCTTGCTGTTTCTTCACCGCCATTCTGGTTGCCGGTTCTCTACTGTTCTCTTCGTAGGCCGCCCCTCTGTTCACCTTGGCTAGTGCTTCCTCGGCGGACTTCAGCCTTTCTGCCATAGCCCTCGTTTTCTCTTGCTCTGTCGCCAACGCCGTCTCGAGCTCGGTGATTCTCGTCAGCAGGTCACTCAGGGCAACCATCATTTTCTCCATTTTTTCATCGCCCTCACATTGCATACACTTCACGTCAGCCTCTTCTCCTTCCGCTTCTACAGTCGGGTCCACTTTCAAACCCACCCCACATCCTGAACACTTTAGTCTTTTTTACCACGTGTTTCCGACACTAATTGTTCCTATGACTTGTCTCACTCGATAATTACAAAACTCGAGCCCTGCTCAACGAAAAAGAGAAAGTCTAAGCTCTACTACAAAAATTTGCGTGTTTAATGTACGTGAACCTCCCCAACAGGGTGGCAAAAAAACAAAAAATTCAAACACACACACACGCACAAACTAATAAATACCTGATGACTGACCACCAAAAAGCCGTACAATGAAATATGTGCTACAGGGTTTTTAACTGCTGCCTTATAATTAGAAAGACAAGCTCAAAACATGCAAAGCCACTGATATTCGCAGTCAATCGGGAGCACTAAAAAACACGTCCATCCACCGTGACAGTCCAAACCAAACCGACATATTCACGCCTCCTAGCGTCATAGCCATGAAACACACTTATAAAGTCCTAATAACTTTGCTGTGAATATTTGAAGCGCACCGAAATAAGGGCTTACATATGGAATATGTATGTTATTCTTCATTTTCGATTGTTTCTTGGCGCCCCGCCATGGTGGTCTAGTGACTAAGGTACTCGGCTGCTGACCCGCAGGTCGCGGGATCAAATCCCGGCTGTGGCGGCTGCATTTCCGATGGAGGCGGAAATGTTGTAGGCCCGTGTGCTCAGATTTGGGTGCACGTTAAAGAACCCCAGGTGGTCAAAATTTCCGGAGCCCTCCACTACGGCGTCTCTCATAATCAAATAGTGGTTTTGGGACGTTAAAACCCCACAAAACAATCAATTGTTTCTTGGCCTACAAAGTGAAAGAAGCACAACATGAAAAGTGGCGCTGCTTTAGTAGCCTCTGCAGGGAAACGGGTGCAGTTGTGCAAACGCGCGATACCGTGGCGTTTCCACAGTAGCTCAATTCGTTTCATGTCGGGTGCGTTCAAGAAGCAAAGCTTTTGAATGCGATCGCTGCGGCGCGCGAAAGGCCGCCAGTCTACCGCTCTGTGGAGAATAGCTTCATGCGTGCGGCTGGTGGTGGCGGTCCACCGAATTCGTCGCTACCGCTATCGTCTGTCTAAACGTGTCGCTCTGGCGCTACTTGATAGTGGTTCTGATTTCGCCCTCGCACGCAAGCCAAAATTCGTTCCTCTAACTCGCTCAAGTTGTCAAGCGATGACATCGAAGCCGACAAACTACGGCCAAACGTGAACTAATATGCGCGAATTGTCGATCGCGTGTAAACGTGCCGTTTCCTTTTCAAAGACTTGTCTTGGCTCGACTTGGCTAAAGTTGGAAAAACTACCCATGCACGGCCAAAAGTACTTGCTCAAGAAGCCCCGGGAAAGTGCTGTAAGCCTTGTAATCTAACTTAGCACGCTAAGAAGAAGTGGTTGCGGGACTGCAGGCTTAACTAGACATTATTACGTTTTCGTACTTAGAGATTCACTTTTCCTCACTGCTGGCGTTACACTGGCTTATAATAGCTATCGCGATCACATCCATTGTTTGCAGCACGCCTTTTTAAAAGACTGCATAATCGCTTCAAATCAAGAAAGTTCCGATTATAAATGTTCTACAGTGTTTTCTGCGTTACCATTGCCTGATTACAAGCTCTTACAGGTAAGCTTTCCGTTGCACTCAAGAACACGGGTGCCATAATTATCGGTTGTGGGTCCCTTTAAAGATATTCTCAGTTGAAATATCATCTTTCTTCATTCGGTGAAAGAACAAAAGAAAATAAATGACGCCGCATTTATAGTACGCTAGTCTACCATGCATTACAAATTTTTCACAGCTTTTGAGAAGATTCACAGAGGATTCATGGTTCACCGGAATGAACATCTGGATCAAACTCCTTCATTATCATTCCCCTGATGAATATATTGTTCTATGGCAGGTTCGGTCGCAGTCAGTGCCCCTTATAATTTCGGCGATGTCCCTGTGCTAGTCATATTATGCGAGGTTTTACGTCCAAAACCCATGCTGCATAATTCTGCTAGCATAGTAAGCACATCTGCTAGCATAGTAATTCAGGGTGTTGCTTCGCCGAGCTTGGGACAGATGGCGCGATGTGGGGCCTAAATATGGCGGAACACACTAAACTCGCTGTGTTCTGGTGTATACAATTGTCACAAACAACTCGCGGGCTCTCTCGTACATTCGCATAAGACGACTGAAAGGTGAAATGCATCTTGTTTTGCTTCGTAGACGAGGTATTGCTCCTCCCCCACCTCTTTCTGCAGGATTCCTGCACCTAACGTGCTTTAGCACGGCCTCCGTGATCGCTTCACTATTGACCAAGCGAGGATGTAATGACGACGTCACAAAACATGGCGGTCTGGAAGGTCTCGGTGACCTCGTCAGGGGTTACCTCCCGTCACTCTTGTTCACGCCGCCATGATTCATCTGAGGCTTTTACCCTGTCGGTGGCGACATTTATCCAGCAGTCGTTCTAGCCATTCACCTCACGTGACAGATATTGCGTTAGTGCTAAATGTGACAGAAATTATGCTATACTGTGCAGAAAGTCATATTGCTGTTGATTATTAGCGCGTTTTAGGCTGGGGGAAGGAATCGAGAAAGAAGTTCAGCGCGAGCGTACGCGAATGTACACTGACGGCAGAGCGCTTCTGAGCTCAAGTATATTAGTCATATGCCTTAACGACGAAGTTGAGTGCGATCACGGCGTCTGGAGTGCCATCATTTATTTAAGTATTTGGTGCCGAAGAAGCGGGATTCAAAACCAGGAAACTACGGATGGCTACCAATCAACTGCGACGACATGGAGCGACTGAATTTGAAATGGACGTCGCGGTGAGCACAGAACACATAGATAATGAACGAGGTAAATGCTCTCATTGTTAACGACTCTAACTTATGACCAGCCCAGTTGCATTTATGAGAGGCTGAATGCTAACAACGGTGAGCTTAATAACGTGAACGCTGAGATCGAACAGCATTCTTATCGATATATATATATATATGACACATATAAGGACCATTTCACGGAAAGACGTAGAAATATCGTAATGGTACATCGCATTAGTATACATAACACATAATGTAGAGGAACTGATTGCTGATGGTGGCAGATAATGCTGGTTAATGATGGCTCTTATCGTCTAGTGATGCCTGTTCTTGCCGCAATAGAAAGTTTATACTTACAGTATTTTTCAAATGTTGAGTGGCGCGTCATATATCTTGCTCTATCGTTGCTAAGACAGCAGCGTTACTACTTTGAATAGTGTATTTTCCGGAAAGGTTGTGTTCTTCCGCGGTTGGTCAACTTTTATTGGTCTAAAGGGCTCCTTTAGCCCCTGTGCCTCGCTTAAAATGCCGCCTTTGAAAATCGGTTAAGATTGGAGAAACTTGACAGCCTCGTGAAAGGAATCCCACGTTTCAAAACTACAACGCACGCGGAAATAGCAGGAAGAGTGTCTGAGGCGAGAATACTTTTCTTTTTACCTTTTTGTGTAAAATTCGCATTTCGTGAGATCCTCGGCACACACATCCCGGTCGGGTTCGTACATCATCCCGTTGACGCATCGGCAGCTGCTCCCAGCTACCGAGCACGAGGTTTTATCGTCACCACACTCACATGGTGTACAGGAACTAAAATAAACGCAAAAATGGCGCCAATTTAGGCTTAGGAAACATATATTTGTATAAAAAAAGCCTACTAAACGCGTAAGAGATCAAAATTAGGAAAATAAATAACATATATACAAATCACCTAAATGATTAACTCATTACATAGGAGCATTGAGACAGTCGTAAAGAAACAGCTCTGCATGTATATTGCAGTTATAAAAAAGCGAGCTCAAATATAGAGTTAAAGGGGCACACAACTGGACTGAACGGGTGATTACATACGGTGTAAAATAAGAGAGCATGAATTATGATGACAGGTGACAGCATATTGTACGTGATCTCAGAAGGATTTATATATTCAAATCGCGTTCAAAAGTAACCAGAAACCAGCATGTCACGCCTCCTAGCGTCAGAGCTATTAAACATAATTAATAAGTCCTAATAACATTGCAGTGAATATTTGAAGCGCACCGACATGAGTGCTTACATTTGGAACATGTATGTCATTCTTCATTTTCCTTTGTTTCTATGTGGCCTACAAGGTGAAAGAAGTATACAGCATGAATAGTGGCACTGCTTTCGTAGCCTTTGCAGAGAAAAGTGTGTAGTTGTGCATACGCGCGGCGTTACCACAGTAGCTCGGTTCCCGTCTCGTCGGGCGCGTTCAAGAAGCACGAGAGCTTTTGAATGCGATCGCTGCGGCACGCGAAATGCCGTCAGCCTACTGCTCTGCGGAGAATTGCTTCATGCGTGTGACTGGTGGTGGTCCGCCGGATTCGTCGTTACCGCTATCGTCTGTCTAAACATGTCGCTCTGCCTCTACTTGATAGGGGTTCTAACTTTGCGCTCACACACGAGCCAAAATTCGTTCCTCTAACTCGCTCGAGTTGTCAAGCGATCACATCGAAGCCGACAAACTACGGCCAAACGTGAACTAATATGCGCGAATTGTCGATCGCGTGTAAACGTGCCGTTTCGTTTTCGAAGACTTGTCTTGGCTCGACTTGGCTAAAGTCGGAAAAACTACCCGTGAACGACCAAAAGTACTTGCTTAAGAAGCCCCGGGAAAATGCCGTAACTCTTGTAATGTAATTTAGCATGCTTAAAAGCACTAGTCGCGGGACTGCAGGCTTGACAAAGACAACATTACGTGTTTGTACTTGGAGCTTCACTTTTCCTCACTGCTGGCGTCACACTGGTGTACGATCCCTATCGCGATTACATCCACTGTTTGCAGCATGTCTTTTTAAGACTGTATAATTGCCGCGAATCAAGAAAGTTCTGATTATAAATGTTCTACGGTGTTTTCCGTGTTACCATTGCCTGATTACAAGCTCTTACAGGTAAGCTTTCCGTTGCACCCAAGGAAACGGGTGCCATAAATATCGGTTGTGGGTCCATTTATATATCTCCTTAGTTGTAGTATCATCTTTTTTCCCTCGGTCAAGGAATAAAAGAAAATAGGATACACCGCATTTATAGTACACGAGTCCATCATGCACCAAAAACTTCTCACGGCTTTTGAGAAGATGCACAGAGGATTCATGGTTCACGGGAATGAACCTCTGGATCAAACTCCTTTATCATCATTTCCCTGATGAATATTTTGTTCTATGGCATACACAAAGAGAGGCTCCAACTGCGCAGTGTTTTAAATCATCTGGGCAGAAGTGATTTCACTGTCGAGAAAGTATTGGGACCATGGGACTGCGCATCCAATTTCCGAAAGGCAACGAAAGCACTGTTGCATTTTCTGAAAGACACCGGCCTGCTTCATCGTTTGTGATGGTGAAAGCTTTACGCGTCGGCCCAGTCAGTGACCATTTATCTCCTCCTCTATAACTTTCCTTCCCCTCTCCCCTTCCCCAGTTCAGGGTAGCCTACCGGGGCTCAGCCCTTGTTAACTTCCCTGTCTTGCTCCTTTTGTTCTCTCTCTCTCTGTCTGGTTCTATGGCAGGTTCGATAGCAGTCAGTGCCCACTATAATTTCGGTGGTGTCCCTGTGCTAGTAATAATATGCGAGGTTTTACGCCCCAAAACCATGGTATGATTATAAAAGACGTCGTAGCGAAGGACTCCGGAAATGATGACCGGAAATGGTGACCTGGTGATCTGGTCGTTTTCAACGTGCCTCTACATCGCACAGTCCACGAGCCTCTGTCATTTCGATGTCTTCGCGCTTTCCTCCAACTTTAGCGACCATCTTAAAGAGATTTCGTAGTAATGAACGCCTTCAAGCCAGAAAGCGTGCCACTGTGGGAGTGACAAAACGCACGTGGTCCTACCAGGGGTCCTACCACAGTCAGCTCTGCACGTTAGTTCTGGCTCTTTAGTTTGTACACTCTTGCATGAGCTTTGAGTGGCTGTGGTATAGCTTTATTCAGCCTATCCCAAGGAAAGACTGAGCATCAGCACGAACGCCACGTTAAGCCCCTTATATCAATCAGCTTGGCTGTTTCTTGAGCTTTACACGGCGAGTGTAAGCTTTCTCTTTTTCTTTTAATGGCTCGAAGTGATCCATGATGGGGCTACCACAAAGTGATGCATGTCATCCGCCTAAAGGCGCACCAAGCCCGATGAAAGACATTTTTTGTTTATTAATTTGAGAAAGTACTCTTTTTGTGTAGTATCTCCTCATTGCCACATTTACATTTTAAATATTCTCTTAGGATTAGGTGTGTCAGCGGCATACGACGGAGTTGAAACTAAAGCAGGGTCTTGCTCAGCTTGGCTTATCGTCCGCTGTGATGTTGCTTCCTCAGTAGGTAACCCCATATCAAAGCATTTCAGGTGAGCCAAGTTCTACAGCTACTCTGCATGAGCGAGGACGTGTGGAGCATTTTTAAATGCTATTTCCTTGATTTCATCTGGCAACGTTCGTCTTCGAAAAAAAGTTGGCCCCGTATCGGCATGTTTCGCTACAAAAGACGTTGAAAGACAGTAGTCTTCCCTTTGTAGAGAGTGAATAAAACATTTATTTGATGTTTTGCTCGAGAAAATTTCTGGATGGAATTCTGAAGGTGCTGCGTGAGACATGAGTGCCATCTGGCAGTATTCTTCGAAACGAAAGGATGGCTTCAGATATAGCGAGCGAGTGGCGTGCGCACGCCATCTAGGAAGCCATAAAATGTAGAATGCAAGGCCATATGGGGCAACCCAGTATCGTGTTAGCAAAGCACAGCAAAATACCTCCTTTCATGCATAGCGTCGCTTTGTCAGCGCAGCTTAATAAACACTATGGTCTTTAGAATTACTTATGTATGCCTCTTATAGTATAAAGAAACACACTACAGTTGATTGATTGATATGTGGGGTTTAACGTCCCAAAGCACACTAAGGTATATTGACGTGTTGATATTGTGCCTCAGATATGCGAACTATTGATTTTAATGAACAATGCACGTAGTTAGGAACTCAGAAATCAGACCAATATTGGTAGGCATTAAGGATGTGGTTGAACTTAGGCCCAGTCAATGAATCGCCCCGCCGCGGTGGTCTAGTGGCTAAGGTACTCGGCTGCTGACCTGCAGGTCGCGGGTTCAAATCCCGGCTGCGGCGGCTGCATTTCCGATGAAAGCGGAAATGTAGGTCCGTGCGCCCAGATTTGGATGCACGTTAAAGAACCCCAGGCGGTCGAAATTTCTGGAGCCCTTCATTATGGCGTCTCTCATAGTCATATGGTGGTTTTGGGCCGTTAAACCCCACATATCGATCAATCAGTCACTGAATAGTTTAGGCTGACAAACCGACAAGTAAAACGACAGACAGACCATAATTTTTGCGTTGAAGTGTCCCAAGAAAGGCTATCGTCATTAATAACGTACGAGCAAAACTATGCGGCATGTGTGATTGAAGTGCGCTAATATGAGATGAAGGCCCGAAGAAGGAATCGCCCACCAGACGAAGGGCTCCAGATGAGCGTGCTTTGAGGGTATGCGATTGCCTTCGGCCTGTTTGGAACTCGATCGGCTACGTCGCACGGCGCTGACGCCGAGAAATGTTGCCACTCACACACGCTAGGTAAAAATGTTGGCGGCAGTACGTTGTTGACTCCTGTCGCTGTCGAGTGGCACAGTGTTCTTTTTAAAGGTGATAGTCTTTTTGGAGACCTTCGACCCAAAAATTTGGGTCTGCCTGCCTGTCTGCTTGTCTGTTTGTCCACCCTTAACCGTACCCCGAACCACAAAAAACGATACCTGAAATGGCGGACGCCATTCGCAGCGCCCACCAATAGAACTCAAACTTTAGCATTCATACTTGTGCGATTGTCAATTAAAAAGCGATTATTGCGCATATCCGAGGCAACATACCAACATGTCAATATTCTGTATGTGTGCCTTTATACTTTAAAAGGCATACATAGGTATTTCTAAGGACCGTAGCATTTATCACGCTGCGTTGACAGTGCAACGCGATGCTCAAAAAGGCAAGTGTTTCCAAAGCTTTGCTAAGGCAACACGGGCGGCACCTATACCCTTCACCTTGCATTCTACACCATATCGCCTCCAAGACGGGCACGCATGCCACGCGCTTTGTTTTCCAAAATAGCTGCCAGATAGCGCTCATGTCTCACGTGTGACGTGACTCGATGCGCTCGTTTGCCTCCACTGCATGCTCGAGGCACTCTGAAGGAGCACCTCCAGAATACCATTCACCGATTTTCTTGCCCAGAACATTAAATGAACGTTTTGTTTACTCTCTCCAGACGCAGTACTATCGTCTTTCGATGACATTTGCAGTGTAACATGCAGATACAAGGCCAATGATTTAAAGAGCGGGCGCAAGTCAGCCTAATAACCAATTTTCTTCAAACCTATTAGTGTCCTGCTTCCCCACGAGCTGCCGCTGCCGCAGCAGCATGTAAAAACAAAAATGCACAGACAGACAGACAGACAGACAGACAGACAGACAGACAGACAGACAGACAGACAGACAGACAGACAGACAGACAGACAGATAGACAGACAGATAGATAGATAGATAGATAGATAGATAGATAGATAGATAGATAGATAGATATTAAAGCTCGTGTGAAAGAGATTTTATGGAAGTGTGCGTACTCCAAGGAGGTTATACTAAACTTTCTGGAGTGGCGGAGGGGCTCCGCGGCTGACGCCACGCGCCGCCATATTGCTCAGGGCAGAAAGCGGTCGAACGCATTGTAACGCGTGCATGTGCGTGCGGCCTCTCCGTTGTTTTTCTTGAGTGCGGTGCCTCTAATCGAATGAGGCCGCTGTGGCAGACGACTGTGACCTCTTCTGAAGACGATGGTGGGCTCTTGCGCAGCATTTGGCTGCGCAAATCGCGTGAAGCAAACACCGGGGATAACTTTTCACGTGTAAGTAGCGTGCTTTGCTCGCTCGCTTTCCCTCGCATATTTTTGCGATTACGAATGCATTCGCGCGTACAAGCATTTCCCATTTACGTTCGGGTGCCATGGAGACACTGTGAAACATTTTTGTGCTTTGCAGGTTTCCCAAAGACTGCGAATTGCGCAGTGCATGGGAGCGCGCTGTGAGGCGAGAAGGTTGGACTCCGAAGAAGAATGACGTCTTGTGTTCAATGCACTTTGAAGCAGACTGCTTCGATAGAACAGGGCAAACAACGAGACTACGAGCTGGTAGCATCCCTACCAAGTTTGCAGCGTTTCCAGCGCACCTACAAAAGCCAGTGAGTACGCTTCGTGAGCTCTTCGTTTACCAAATGTAGTTATTGTAGCGTTAGCTCCGCATCTCCGGGATTTTCAGTTTCTAATATTTAGTTGCGCATTCGCTCTAAATGCCTAAATTTCTGACGCTGTCGCGTTATTCCTCTTTTTGCGTAGGAGAAGAGAAAACGAGCTCCTCCAAAAAGTCGGGAGATGCCTTCGCCTCAGGAGCCTGTTTTGGATGAAGCTGCCGAAGTCTCCCCCCTGCAAACTTCCCCCCCGAAGGAGTGGTACAAGCAGAAAGTGCATGAATCGGCGAAAGAGGTACAGCAGCTGAAAAAGAAGGTCAAGACGTTGCACCAGAAGAAACGGAGACTTTCAAAACGCATTGATGCTTCTCAGGATTTGATTGAGCAGCTAAAGGAGCAGAACCTTTTGTCGGAAAAAGGGTTGGAGGTTTTCCAAGCGTCATTTTCTCCGGATATCTAGCAGCTTCTCAAGAGAACTCATGAAAAGACGAATAGCCCCCAGAATTAAGAGAATTTGCACTGACGCTTCACTATTATTCGCCAAGGGCTTATGATTATGTGCGAGCTAAGTTTAACAATGCTTTGCCAAACCAGCGAACTCTTCGCGAATGGTACAAGGCAGTGAATGGTGATCCTGGCTTCACCTCAGAATCATTCGAGTTTATCAAGAACATAGTGCAAGGAAGAGATGAGCCACTGGTCGCTGCCATAATGGTTGACGACATGTCTATTAAAAAACATGTCCAACTTGTGGGCAACAAAGTTTTCGGATATGTCGACTTGGGCATGGAAATGCCAGATGACAGCCTCCCAGAAGCAACGAATGCCTGTGTTTTCATGCTGGTGGCACTCAATATGAGGCTGAAGGTGCCCCTTGGGTATTTTTTTCATTGATTCTCTCTCTGGTTCTGAAAGAGCGCAGCTAACGAAAGAGTGTATCTCGCGCGTGACTTCAGCAGGTGTCATAGCAGCATCACTGACTTTTGATGGAGCGGCCTCGAACTTTTCAATGGCCAGTTTTCTTGGTGCTGATCTCCGCTGTCGTTCTCCGGGATTTAACACCTCATTCCAGTGCTTAGAAGATTGCCCAAGCAAAGTATTTGTGATTCTAGATGCCTGCCACATGATCAAGCTTGTGCGTAACTGCTTGGGATCAGTAAACCACCTCACTGATATTCAAGGGCGCAAAGTGAAGTGGTCATACATTGAAGCTCTTGAGGCCTTGCAACAAAAAGAGGGCTTGCACCTTGGAAACAAGCTGACGAAAGTTCATCTGGAGTGGGCAAAGCAAGAAATGAAGGTTCGACTGGCTGTGCAGACCCTTAGCTCGTCTGTTGCTGATGCACTGGACTTCTGCGAGTATAAACTGAAGCTTCCCCAGTTTCAAGGTGCCCACGCAACAGCGGAGTTCATTCGAATCTTTGATCGCCTCTTCGATATTCTGAACTCGAGGAACCCTCTGGCGCGATCATTCAAAGCCCCACTGCGGCAGCAGAATGCAGCTTCTTGGAAATCGTTCTTCCACGAAGCCGAGGAGTATATTAGGGGGCTGAAGGATGCAAGTGGGCGACCAGTGATAGATGGACTGAAAAAAACTGGGTTTGTTGGCCTCATCATTTGCATTCGAAGTGTCACTGCCCTTTTCGATGCCCTTGTGGCCACGAAAATTTTGAAGTATTTGTTGACGCGCAAGATGTCGCAAGACCATTTGGAAACGTTTTTTGGTTGTGTGAGGGGGAAGGGGGGATACAACAACAACCCCACAGCCTGCCAGTTCAGAGCCGCCTATAAGCGCCTCCTCTTCCACACAGAGGTAACATCGTCTGACGCTGGGAACTGCTGCCGAGATGTGGTGTCTATCCTGAACATGTCCAGTGCTGTCAGCCTTGCCGAGTCACCAACAGCAGTTACGTCACACAGGAGGTCGTCGCTTCTGGAGCCTGTGGATGATGAACATGACTACACTCATCGTGTGGATCTCCCCCAGAGCCTTTCAGCGGTGACGAGTGCTGTTGTGCCGTATATAGCGGGATTTGTGGCTCGCAAGGTGCGGTCTGTCACGAATTGTGAGGAGTGCTGTGCTGCGCTGGAATCAAGCGAAGAACCAGACCTTGTCAGAGCAAAAACAGAGGTGGACTTGTCGCACCATCCAAGGACGTCTTAGAGATCTGCAGTATTGCAGAAAAGGGACTGCGAGTACTACAGCATGAATGCAAAAATTTGAAATCCCTTAATACTAGCTCAGATAGCCTTTTGGTACATGTGATGACTGCAGTGTTTGAAAAAGCATTGTTCGCGCAGCTGGAGCCTCACCTGCTGGACTGTGACCCCCTTGATAACCATATATATAGCTTATCAAAGAAAATTGCCAGCGTGTACATCAGAACAAAACTTCATCACATTTCTAGGAGAATGAACCAGGAGAACTGTAACAAAAACGTGCGCACACTCCTAACAAGAAAGATTATTTTCAAAAATCTCTAAGTGCGAGAACTTGATTGATGTGTTTTTCTATTTAATTTAGCTCACTGTTAGTGTTTGATGCATTTGTTCTTTTAGTCAGAATTTTAATTTTTTGCTGGAAGATTTAACGTTTGGTTTAGTCAAATGCATCTGGTGCTGAATGTGACTAACTGTAGGGTTTAACGGGCCGACGCATTGCAGGCAATGAGCCTTGCCGTAGTGGAGGGCTCCGGATTAATTTTCACCATCTGGGGATCATTAACCTGCGCCGAAATCTCGTTTTCGCTTTTCGCTTCCATTAGAAAAGTGGCCGCCGCGGCCGGTAACCGTGGTGCTGAATGTGGACAAGTGAATAAATATGGTTGTACCGTGAACCTTCAGTTTCCTTTATTGCGTTATTGGTTTCATATTTTTGTTTTCGTCTCCAGCTAGCATTCTACAACTTCTCCCGCTCTTAAATATTAGTTTCGTTGCATCTTCTCGAGCGGTACTTCTGCCGTGAGACAACAGTGTAAACATATAATACAAACTGATATCCTATCGCATCATCTTTAACTCTCAGTGTAAGTGTCAAGAAAAAAATAAATAGGATGTATATTAGTCGTTTCAAAGTTCCCCCGCGTCCTAAGAAAAATAAAGCGGCCCTTTCATTGCTATTACAGAAGGCACGGCTGCAAGCGTACGGGGCACAACGGCGGCACAAGGCAGTCGCCGCCTCCTTCTGCCCTGAGCAATATGGCCGCCGACGGGTTTCCGCGGCTTCACTCCGATACATGGGCGGGTATGCGGGACCGCCACTCCAGAAGTTCTAAGTATAACCTCCTTGGCGTACTCAGTGCTTCCACAACGTATGATCTTGGTTTGGATTACCTTTATTCGACACCAGGAGCCGGCAGCCGAGAGCTACGATGAACCAAGAATGAAGATGCTCATACGCGACAACAATAATGATGCATGAACAAAACATGATGATGATGATAATGTTAAGATGAAGAAGATAAGTATACTAAACGCCCACAGAGGTAAGCAAACATGTCCAAACGTGGCTCTCCCCTGGTAAAGGTCACCTTACACGCTCACAATCCTGTTCACTTCTTTTATTGTTCACTATGCAGTGTGGAAGTACACATTGTGCCAAAATATAGGACTCTAAACCCTCTGATCAACCTACCCATTTTTATTAAAGCATGAAATATCATCAGGTCTCACCTGATGGGGTTGACAAGCTCACAGTCATCCGCATCTTGGACGCATTGGTCTGAACCAGGCATGAAGTACTGCCCATTTATGCACTTGCATTTGTTGCCATAGAGATGACAATTTCTTCCTCCATCAGGACAACGGCACGGCGCACAATTATCTCTGCAAACACATATAAACATTGATGGTGAATACCAACGGCAGATTTAGAGCGCAGTTCCGGGAGCAGTTGCCCTTCTTCATGTAAAGCAAGTTTGTTTCTCAGGCAGACTGAGAATGCAGCCTTTGTGTTTTAATAGCACGATCACAGCAGCTCGGCCGCCAGATGTACTTAATTCGGCAGCTCTCGCTACTCCGCGGAAAGCGGTCGAATCAGCCGGAAGTCGAAGGAACCCCGCTCGTGCTCAGAGCGCGGCGTACCTCGTGACGGATGCACCGCACTGCCCGACAGCAACCGGTCCCTCGACGCGCATCCGTGAAGGCGAATGGTGACTCCCCGCGTCAAACTTGCGCCAGTGCTCTTTGATATTTGCCCTAATGGGAACACCTGCGTTCTGTTCGTAAGTTTCTTCCAGCCTATTGTGTGCTGCGCTGTGGCCTTCGTAAGTACGTAAGCCCATATCAGAGCACTTCAGACGAACCACGTTCTACTGGTCATCTGCATGAGCGGGGACGTGTGGCGTGTCGTTAAATGTTATATCCTCCATTTCTTGCTGCCAGGTTCGTCCTCGGAAAATAAACTACGAGCAAAACTATTCATATAAACGCTGCCTGTTCGTTTGAAGCGCGCTAATATGAGGTGGCGTTCTGAAGAAGGAAGACCCTGGCAGACGACAGAACCCGGATGAGCGGACTTCATGGGCGTGCGCTTACCCTGGCCCTGTTTGCATCTAAGCTCTATTGTACGGCGCTGGCGCCTAGAGGTGTCTCCACCCACGCGTGCTACAGGTAAATATCTGGGTGACTGTTACATTGTAGGCTCCCGCCTCAGCCGAATTACACAGTGTTCTTTTAGTGGGCGCAAGTCAGCCTAGTAAGCAAGTTTTGTCCTAGCCTTCTAGTCTCATCCTGCCTAACGAGCTGCCACCACTGCACGTAAACGCAAAAGTGTATAGAAATAAATAATTAGGTAAACAAATAAATGGATAAACAATCTCAAACCACGGTGAAACACCTTCTACGGAAGTGAGCAAACAGGATGCCAAAGCGAGGCTGTCACCAGGTAAAGGCCATCTTACATGCTCACAACCTTGTCCACCTACTGCATTATTCGCCATGCCGTAACGGTACCAAAATATCTCTTTGCCGTGACGTCACCCTATCCTGACACAATAGAGCATTACATTTCGTCGGATCTCACCTCACGGGGTTTACGAACACACAGTCCTCCACATTTTCGACGCACTGGTCTGAACCAGACTTGTAGTACTTCCCATTGTAGCAGTTGCACTTGTTGCCAATGAGAAGACAACTGCTTACTCCAGCTGGGCATTTGCACTGGGCGCAGCGAGTTCTGCAAATACATACAAACATGAATGGTGAATACCAATGAAAGAGTCGGCACACCTCCGGAGGCAGTTTCCTGCTCCATGAAGAGCAAGTCTATTCCTCTGGCAGATTAATAGTGGGCCGTGTATTTTGAAATTGCACTGGGGAGCAGCAGCGCCACTCCATAGAGCAGCTCCCTGCACTCAGCGAAAAGCGGTAGGAACTTGCACATAGCACCCTCGGCCTGGTTGGTTACGCCCGCGTCGCATTGGTAGGTTTCCTTCAGTGGCTCGACGCTGGAGTGGATGGTTACAATGAAGAGCTTGTCGGTCACTGCGAATCTACCAATGGAATTTCTCTTAAGGTTTGAACTTTGTTTCAACATTTGGTTACAGGAAAGAAATTACGTCAAATGTAGAGCAGAGCTGCGTAAGAGGTGACAGTGAGGCGTCATGCAAACATAGACTATACATAAAAAAGCAAGGTAGTATTACCTAAGATCATTCACTAGCATGCAATTATCCGTATTTCGGAAAAAAAGTTCTGTGTATTGATGTTCCTTCATGTAGTCCTACGTAAGACCGTTGTTGGATGAGCTTTCGGTCTCGCCGTTTCGGCAGTGCCGCTAATCTCATCGTGCTATAGAAAAAGAAAAACGCCGTTATCTCGCACACCCAATCTTGCATTTCACTAATTCGCAGTTTATGGAGACTCTGGCAGTAATTGTGGTAGGAGACGAGGTTGTGGCTACGAGAACAATGTGGATTGAATTGGAATAAACTTTCTTCTATTTTCGTTCTTATTTAAATAGACGATAGTAGTCAGCAATTGCGATATACTACAAATGCTGAATTACACCCTTGTGAAATTTTGGTGGTAACGGTAGTGATTCACCGCTCGGGCAGTTCTTTTAGCGGTGGCGTCAGACGTAACATTTGCCATGGTGACGTGAAGGCTGCAAAAACGCACGTCTCTCAGCCAACTGTACCTTGCAGTATACGAAAGCAAGTGCTGTGAGAAAGCCGTGCCTGATGTAAAGTAAAGCGTAGAGTTTTCTGAATTATGTCTTAGAATATAAATTCTGGCTCTGCCGTCGTTTAACCACCACGGCCACAATACAGATTTACCTTATCTTTACGCTTGCAGCCCTGAATGCACTCGTGACTTTGTTTATAGAGGCGTTTTGCCGCTTCCTTCAGATAAAAGAATACATTGGTGTTAACTCCGCGACCAGATTTGAATCGGCGGTTTTAAAAGCTCCAGGTGTAGACGAAGAATTGTGAATGTTTGCTCAACTGAAGACAGCGGATTTTGTGGGTTTTGTTTGACTTTACTTTCTGCTTTGCTAAGCAGTACTTTAGTTTTCGTATAGAGACAAATTGTTTTACCACTAATTCATCCGTCGGCTCCGACTGTAACTCCTCCATCTAGGCGACCGAAGTATTCCAGAGCTCGTCGGAAGCCAGGGTAGGGTTCTTTTTGGGGCAGGGTGCCCAAGCAATTTTTTTCCAATAAGCCTTCGAAGCGTAGCCGTGGCGCCATCAACACAGGTCTAAACTTGGGGTCTTTGGCAATTTCCTGCCGCTTAGCGTTGGCTTGTCCATCCTCTCCCCAATCATCGCCAAACTCTGAATACGTTGCCTCAGCAGCACACAGTTATGTATCCCCGATGGTCTATTGCCACGCGCTTTCCTTCTTTTATCCTCGCGGCTCTCTGAATACCTGCGCTTGGTTAAAGGGCCAGTCAACAGGCTCCGAAACGTGCTGGAAAAGCTCGCGAATCTTTCGTACGCCTGACCAACCTCCTTCCAGGTGCAGTTATGTCAATTCAGCGATCGGTGACGTTGGCTTCATTACTCTTTGTTGAGACCTCCGGTCTCAACAAATAGTAATGAACCAGGTTTCACGTTTAGACCAATAGACGAGCTGCGTGCTGCGTCACGTTGGCCATCCCTGAGTTGACGTCACTGCGTGTACAGGGAGGTTGGTCACGCGCAGGCAAAATGCGTGAGCGTTTTCCCCGCATTTCGGAGCCTGTTGACTAGCCCATTAACACTTCTCATTTTCTCTCGTCCTCCTTAACTCCACCCACATTGCTGGTGTTTTTGCTCCTCAATAATAAGGGCTTGTTCGTGCATACTGAACTTGGGCTAAACAGCCGAACATTCTCGGGACCGCATTGCTGTCAGTGTTATCTCGTTACCATATCGTTGCCTTTTACCTTACTCATGAGTGTTTTACCTGTGCAGAATGACGAATTAGTAATGAATACGCAAACGAAGCAAAGCTTAAACCACTGGTCACATTGCGGTCATGTTACCCGACAATGTGTTAAACGTTCTGAACTTTTTCCGTCCCTCTACCTGAATAAGTTGGTGAGCATAGAATTTTTGGCACTTAAGATGCGTTTCTCATATGTTTACGAATATGCCCTACGACCCTTTTGAAGCACAGGGGGATAGTATGATAGGAAGTGAATAAACAGGTAAATAAATAAATATATCAGGAATGTAATGCACACTTTCTATGAATGTGTGTAGCCCACATGAGCTGTACATCATCATCATCATTCTCACTACATCAATATTGTCTAACGTGCACTCGATACAGTCTACATGCAGCGCTATGCACTACACAGTAATTACGTACCACTGTACCAAGATAAACGACTTCCTGCTATTCTCAACCTGCCTATATCAAGTAAAACATGGAATTGCATTTGTACTTACCCTACGGGGTTGGCAAGTATACAATCATCTGTATTTCGGACGCATTGGTCAGAATCGGGCATGTAGTACTTTCCTTGGATGCACTCGCACTTGTTTCCAAGAAGGTGACAATGGTCTTCTTCATTTGGACATCGGCATTTGGCGCATTCACTGGCAAGTGCAAATGGGCATTCTGCTTTGAACTTTCATTATTTGATTGCAGAAAGATACACAATATTCACGTGGCAGCGGAACTGAACAGGAAGCAACTATAAAATTTCCTGGAAACCTAGATTATATTAAAAGCATGGAAATATTCCCTCGGGGTATTCCCTGATGCACAATCACCCACATTCAGGAGGAATACCCTCAGATCTGCTTTGCGTTGATGTCTTTTAACGTCGTGTTACGGAAGGCCCTTGCTGAGTGAGGTTTAAATTTCATCGTTTCAATAGTGTCGTTGTGCACATTTTCCCGCGTAAATAAAAAAAAACGCTGTGCCCTCGCCCTCATATTCTACAGCGTGAGCATTTTTCAGTAACACGCCGAGCCTGCGAAAGCTCTGGCGGGGTATGAGATACGAGGATCCACGATGTATAGGAATGAGAACAGTGCGGGTATGGTTTGCGATGAACTGGCTCAACTTTCGTTTCGATCGTAACAGAGTGAACTTGGCAGCGAATGCGATACGTTCCAAACGAAGAACTAGACCTCTGCATAACATTGATGTCTGCGGCAGCGATTCATTGCTCGGGCCGTTCGTTTAGTGGCGGCGTCAGACGAAACTATTCCTGTGGTGTCAAAGCTAAGAAGATACCATGCATATCTAAGCCAACTGCATGGCGATTTGAAGAGTGAAATTTCAAAGAGACTGCCTCTGACGTAGTTGATATAGTTGGTAGCAGGTCAAAGCACGGGAAGTGATATAATGGGCGCGAGCGATGCTCTGCATTCACGATCTCGTAACGTCACTTGTCATGATCCCTCGTGCCTGATAGAAGCAAGTGTATGAGAGGCGGAGAGTATATAAATACGGCAATTCCCCACTTTACCTCGATGAGGCTGCGTGCCGACCTCTCATGCACAAAAAAAAATGTATTTTAGAGTCGGCCGTGCTTTTATCCCTGCCAATTCTCTCACAGACGTGCAGTGGTTACTTTAGTTATCTAGTATTGAATGGGAAAGGCGGCACAAATAATTCCCTTGCAGACTTTATCATTCTGCCTGCTCGGACAATCGCTCTATTTGTTGTTTCTGTATTTGCACATCGGCGGTGTGTCATAGCTTCATGGTATGGTCCACCTTCCCTGTACACAGGATGGTTCATGTTCGAGCGGCGCGGAAAGCTCCAGGTCTGGACTGCCCTCTAGGACTTTTCACACGCATAGCCTCACAGCTGTGCGCTGGTCGCAAATAAAATGCTACCCAACCTTTTGGACTTTCGGCCAAGATTCAGAATTCAGGAGGTCGAGAAATTTCTTTCTCAATTTTACAAACTTTAGGAAGTCACGAAATAATATGAGTGGGGTCATCCCTTCGTCAGATTGATTTTCAAATGTAAAGTTGAAGCAGACACCTGTTGCTCGCTTGTAGCGAAAGGGTTAGCAGGCTCGTGTGGCGGTCTGCGCCATCTAGCTTTCATTGTCGCCTGCGCCGTTTGCTCGATTTTAATTAGGGAAGCTTTACAATGGTGGTGTCAAGCCCGAAAAAGCAGCGGAGCTGGGCGCCTGGCTCAGATAGCAAGTTAAGCCTAGATATAGCGACTTGAACGTGTCATGGTAGGAAAAATGAAGATGAGGTTCGCTCTCTCTGTCTGTCTATTTTCCTATTTTTTGTTTATTGCGTTCTTTTTATCTTGAAATCTCCTTTTTCTTTCTTTCTTTATTTCTCCATCTGTTTCTTTTCCCCTTCACTCTTCTTCTGATCAACTTGCTCATCGAAACACAATTGGTTCCCATCAATGCTTATTCTGCTAGCTGGCTGGTGTAGCCGAGTGGTTACGACGTTCGCATTCGCGTCGTGGGTACTCTTTATTAATCCCGCCTTACCATAGAATTTTTTTTTGATGCGAAGCAGTTCTTTAACAAGCCGGCGTATCACTGTTCCTCCGTGCATTTGTACGAACGCGCCGCAACGCACTCCCCTCACCACAGGTGTTGGAGCGATGCCAAGTAGGTCACGCCGTGTTTGCGTGTTGACGTCATGCTCCTCTCGCAGTACGCGCTGACGTTACTCTCTCCCTCGCCTGCCGCGCGCTCATCGCAACACGTGTCGCTCTCGTCTGTTCGCTTTTCAAACACGGGCCGCTACCACGACTGCCATTCACTACACCTACAAACTGTGGGTTCATGCGCAATAAACGTGACGCGCGCCTAACACACGCCTTAAAAAGTTTCTGTGTGGGTCACCTTTCTCTGGCTTCACCCTCTCTACCGCTCACAACGTTCGAGCGGTAGAGAGGGTTTAGTGGTAACACTATTTCAGTTCGTTTATCGGCGACGGAGAGGACGCTGGAAGACGATGCTCCTTCGCCCGGCGAAATATCCGTTGAAACTATTAGGCCTAACCCAGCCGTCGCCGGTGTTGTGAAGGTTAGCGAAGCCGCGCCTGCAACGCCGACGAGTTTCGAGCCAGGGAAGCCAAACGCAAGGGTCGGCCACGCTGCTGCTTCGCAACCAATCGGGGTTTTCTTTGGGAAGATGGTGTGAATTATTTAGTTTATTTTCATCTACTTCTCCCCATCTCCAGATTTTTTATCGCTCCTACTGTCCTTCTTCCTCTCCTCTTTGCTTAGCAATGTTCTCGTTCAACCATCAACTATCACTTTCTTCCCGCCTCCTTCCCTCAACGCTGCCCCTTTTACGAGGGTTAAGCTTTACCCTCCTGCATCACTGACTCCACCCTCTTTTCCCACCAATCTCGCTGACTTTTCTTCGCTCCATTCTACTCTTCCACTCTCTTCGCTTTTTTTGGACCTGCTGTACTTTACAGTAGGGCTTGCCCTATTTCTGTTGCTCATACTTGGTCGAAGTTTCTGCAATGCTTGGTGTACGCGAAGCTTAAACGAGTACTACAACACTTTTTTGCATAGGGTCCGATTTCGCTGCCGATCGATAGTCGATGCTCGTCTGAATATGTGGACCGAACATTAAAGAGCGGCACGAGGCAGGTAATTTATACCTAAGGTCTAAACCTAGCTAGAAATTGCTCATTCATCTCTTGACAAGGGTGCCGAAACCCAAATGAACTGCGCCACGGACGGGCATGAATGGAATAAGGGTTAGGTGGAAAGACTTGAAACGCTTCCGGCTAAAGAACTCCGGCAGTAAGGTCATTTCATGGTTATCTGTGATAGTGTTGCTGGGTCACTTCAAGTAGTTCCAATGATGAATGGAGTCTCGGCAGACAAAACGTTGCTATGAGTAGCTATTGGACATATTACCAGTTCTTTGTTCAGCGCATGAGTTTTCATGCGTTGCCGTAACAGAATCGGGCTACGAGTACGCCAAAGTGGGTCTTATTTAGCCACTACTGACCTTGCGGTCGTGTGGCCCGGCTTCGTGTCAGTCTTCCTGAATTTCATGTTCTGTTTCACCTAATAAGGTTGCAAATGTAGCTTCTTTAGTCATTGCACTATTGCCTTACTTTTTTATTTTTTTATTTTTTATTTATTCATACTGTCAGCCCAAGGGCCAAGACAGGAGTTGGGGTTACATATCTGGCACGTACAAAGAACATATGTGGAAACAAGTTTCACACTGTACGCTCAAGACGCATACTATTTGGAAATAGTAAAAACAAAAACGCAAAACCATATCAGAATACATTCCGCATAGGTCACGGATAAAAGAAACGTGTTCGAATACATCTCGTACACCTCATCAAAAAGAAAAAAAAAGATTTGAAGTGATATAGTACATATTGATCTTATTGATGTAGTACATTAAACATATTCAACCGACAAGGAACAAGCAATGTGGTTACAAATATTCTGACAAAGCCTTTTCGAACCTTTGTAAATCGCAATGTTCGACTATGTATTGAGGTAATTAATTCCAGTCATCAATGCTCCGAACCAAAAACGAATACTTGAATAAATCTGTTCTGTAGCTAAGTGGTGTGATATATTTCGAGTGTTTTGTTCTGGATGTGGTAAATGGCTTTTCAACATACGTTGACGGCTAGGGCTATAAAGGTTGCTTGACCATAGTGAAGTAGAATGCGATAGCATTATCAGATATCGTACGCATTACCTTCTCAACTGCGGGCCTCACTTCAGTTCTTGGTGCATGTCTCAGCTGTGCCGTTAGGAAACAAGCGACTGTGCGCGCAAGCTTAGCCGGTGGAAAGTATCGTATATTGCTTTTTGCAAGCACATTTGTTAAATGCCCACAACGTCATAATTGGTAATTTCGCGAATAAGCGAAGGGCCCACTGTGCATCCGCAAGGCAACACGCGAACCTAATTGAATATGTCTCAGTGCTTTGTAACTGGTGGGCCTTTAAAACACCCACTCATTGCGCAGTTCACATGTTTTCGCGCCTGGTGCGATCCTACGCTTCTGAAAACTATTTTTACACGTGCTAGGGAGGGAGCTCCTCTCGCTAGATGTCATCAATAGCGTCTTTTAGAGCAGTTTCAAGCAATGCCGTGCACGAGTGATTTTTATTATTTATGTTATTGGCATCGCTGTCGATTTTTTTTGTTCCCACACAAGAATTTTTTTCTCACAACCTACGACACCGACTCCTCAATTTATGCGAAACGAGCATTTCAGCGCGGTGGCGTTAATAAATCAGTCACCAGGATTTTGGGAGAGCTGCACGCAGCGCCATCTCTCGTCGGCCACAGTGGTTGCCTGTCTTGACTGAATGAGAAATAAGCGAAAAAAAAATATATCCGATGAAAAAATGCTATTCATCAAAAAGGACTCGCGGTTATTTACAGCCGAGACTTAATTGAACCGCCTGGCAATGTTACGGTGTGGCACTCAAGACCGCACTGCTTCCCAGAGTGTTCAGTATTTGACAATGGGCTTCCATATGTTTATATGGGAGGTGACCAATTGTCTCGGCAATCCACAAGCTTTGTAGAGCTATACTGATATTTAGCCAAAATGTACCAGTGGGTCTCGGCTACACATAACCAGGAGTCGTTTTTCACAAACCAGCCTTTTTCAAGATATATAATTGTTCCAATCTATTTCCCTATCAGGTATGGCAGGATGCCACTCGTGCCGCCGAGAGATGGCGTCACTTGCATGTATCCCATATTCCCGGGAATAAATAAATAAATAAATAAATAAATAGTTGCACCACTGAACAAATAAATAAACAGAAACCAAAGTAATACACTCTTCATGTATGAGCGGCACCTTGTTGCAGTACGTGGTTCTCGCTAAGTAAGGTTGTCTGAGATGCTCTCGGTCTTTCTCTTGCTGCACTGCGCGCTACATAGTAGTGATGTACAAACCGTAGGACTCTGCCCCGTGATCGCCCAACTAATTACCGATAGAGCATGAAATTCGGTCGGGTCTCACCTCAGGGGGTTTACAAGCTCACAGTCTTTCGCATTTTCGACGCACCGTGGCGAACCAGGCAGGTAGTACTTTCCCAAGAAGCAATCACATTTGTTGCCAATAAGTAGGCAGTTGTCCCCTCCACCTGGACAACGACACTTGGCGCAGTGGGTGCTGAAAATACATATGATTATCAAGGTTTGAACATTTGTTTACTATTTTATTACGAACAAAATAAGTTTCAATTTCCAACAAATGCCCCACAACAAATTGGAATCTTGTGGGATGCAAAAACAGCAGCTTACTTTTTTTAGGAGCGAACCTCCTTATGATCTAGAGTAGTCCATTCCTGTGGCATAGCCAGCGCAGCATATCCACAGACAGGCAGATGGACAGATGACGGACGGGCACTTCGCTCCACTCATCATCATTTAACCCATGGATATGCTGTAAATTTTTCTTGCATCCGATCTGGCGTAATTCCACAAAACGCTTGTTTAAGAGAATACGACAGCTCCCGGGTCCATGGCGATTATCGTGCTATCGGTTCTCTAAATGTGTAGAGGTGAGAGCAGGGGGAGTTTACGAGCCGTCTCCCGATGTCTTCGAAGGCAGGCAGATCGCTGTTTCGACCGTGCCGTTATGAGCAAAGTTCACAGTTCCTACTCAAGCGACGTCCCAGAACTAAGGATTTGGTTATTTCTCACTCACAGCGAAACCTATAGCGTGAGCGAGCATCGTTCTGCACTCGCCTAATCTTATCATTACCTACGGCTGTCGCTCGGCTTCGATGATCACTGTGCGGTATGTCCGAGCCGACATTCCTGTTGTAAATAAAGATGTGCATCCGCTTGGGAATGGCACGATAGAGAAAAACGATGCAATAGGAAGTTAGGCCTTGTGTATTAAAAACGCGGTCTACCTCTAATACGACAGGACCTTTTGCGTTGCATTGTTTAGTGCCACGAAACACGGAATTAGCCATTCGTGGTCAGCGAAGACATTGGCAGATCACCTTCATGAGGCACGTGCAATTGTCAGGGTCACTGACTCTTAGACTATTACCCTACTGATAGAACTGTTGTCATACCCTGACGCACGTAAGCTCCATGTGATGGCAGGCGTCAATTTATTGCATAGAAACGAAGCTGAGTTCCCCTAGTTGAAAAAAAATTGCCCGCAGCTTCCCTCGGGGGAACACTGAGGAGGATGCGGAGCATATAATTGGTTAACGGGGTGTTAAAGTGCGACTTACTTGGGTCGATGGCTAAATTGGTTAACGTGGTTGTGAAATGGGGTGTTAAATTGCGACTTACTTGAGTCGATGGCTAAATTGGTTAACGTGGTTGTAGGAGGGGGTGTTAAATGAGTGAACACGTACACACGTATGCGAAAGGGCGGCGCTGGTCGAAGGGACGTCGATCATTGTGTTTGTGGATTCGTTGGAATTCATTTCACCGCGACCTTGGACGTCGACGCGCCGTACAAACCAACTGACGAGCGGCAACTGAGCGAGCGAGCGCCGACCTTGAGTATATATACAGCACGACGGCGCATGCACTGTCAGCTGTTGAATGTTCTCGAAGCGCGACGCCACATGCGCGTCCACTGGAGAATCAGGAGAATTGTAGATGTCGAACGCGGTGTGTAGAGGAGGAAGGGTGCACAGATGGTGGAGGAGTGAAGCGCGCGCGGTGTGTAGAGGAGGAAGGGATGCACAGATGGTGGAAGAGTGGGCGACGGCGCGACGGCGCATGCGCGCGCGTCAGCTGTCGAATGTTCGAGAAGCGGTGCGGACGGCGCGGACGGCGCACTACAAGGCGCGAGTATAAGATGCTTCCGCATCTAAAAAATCCTTGATATTACAGAAAGTAAAGCAGTTGACAACGAGATAGAGGATGTTGCACAGTACTATGAGAATATTCTGCAAGCTATATCATATGCATGGCCTTTTCTATCGAGATGCCAACAACATATTCTCATAAATAACACGTGGTATACATTGCTTGCGTAGGCCAGCTATGATAGTGGCATCAACGACAAAAGTTTTGCCCGTAAAAGCACCAATGGCTCTTACTGCACCTTTAAGGCACCGAGTAACAAACGAGATGTTCTGATCATATATTTTAAGTGCGAAGTCGGTGGTATGCAGATTAAAAAATATAAAAATGTTCTTAAAGAGTGTGAAGAAAACAACCCGGCATCTAATGCGACCGTGTGTAAAAGTGCCGAATCAACACTTCATAATCAATTGATTCCGGTCTCCTTTAACTGTGATCAGGGAGGATGACAAGCGTGAACAAGTAGCCTCTTAAGAACCAAATGAAGCAGGAGCAAGCGAGCGTATGCAGCCGAAAGATGCGGACGGTATTGTGAAATGATCAGTTGAAAAACCGAAAAAAGAGAATCAAGCAAATTCCACGCTCGAACGTTCAGTGCGAAGTTGAAGAAACAGAGGCATATGTGGCATGAATAACAAGGTTGAAGATGATGAACAGGTTTCGGGCGTTGACCATCGGGCGAGTGAGTGAGTCATGTAGCATGCGAGTGAGTTACCTGTTCAAACGTCACTCACCAGCCACGATTACTCATTCGATCTAGCAGACCTTCCGTGTTTTTTTTAATGCGAATGCATTGGTCAGTCTGGCTATGTCAAGCGTCCGGTGGTGTCTGCGCGCCGGCAGGTTTTGTTTCTCCGCTCTCACTCCCTCTCCCATAGAAACAGCTGTGGGCGTGCACGCCTATGCTTACCTCTAGCAACCGGAGCAGGTGGTGCGGGCGGAGTAGTGGAAAGTGAGTGGAAAGGCTCTGGTTTGTGAGTATCCTCACAAACCAGAGCGCACTCTGGCTTGTGAGGATACTCGCGACGCTGGAGCTCGGCAGCGCGTGTGGAGGTAGTGTGGGAAAGGGTAGGGGCAGTGCTTCGCCGCTTATTTTCTCGCCGTTCACTCTTTTTTCGCCTTGCGCCCCACTCTCCTGTCCGCTCGCTTGTCCGTATATATGAATGGAGTGAAGCGCACGCTTAACTCTTGGCGGTTTGCTGGCTGATGAATGTGTAGGTAAATAGTTAAGGTGGAAATCCTCGTCTCGTCAATAATTTACGACATTATAATTAGTGCGCCGTGTACCCTCGGCGCAAGAAATCCATTTGCATTTCCTCACTATTCCCTTCGCGGATGGGGGGGGGGGGGGACTTTTATGGTGCCCGCATCACCGGAGGCACAGCCTGTACGTCACGACTTTGTTCTGCTGAGCTTCGGCGGACTGAACGAGTCTGTGACCACGGAGGAGTTCGTAGACAAGGAAAAGTAAATGCTGCTAATGCCCCGAGAAGCGAAGTGCAAGGTGATGAAAACGGAGCCGAAGAAAAACGCGACCACGCAAATTGACGGCGCAAGCACTTCAGAAGAGTTATTTTGACGAAGTAGCGAGAGAGATATCTAGGCACAGTGACTCGCCAATGATATGATGGGCCTGTGGCGACAAGATGCAACTTTCCGGGCATTAGTCACCGGATTCAGCATGTCGAACAGTTCCTTGGACAGTGAGAAACATTACTGGAGGCATCGGTATACTTCACGTCAAAAACAACTCTAAAACTTGGCGGTAAAGCGTCTGCGGGAGAAGAGAACCCGAATGCGGAGCCGACCACTATTGCCGTGTGCAGACGAGAACGGTGTAAATGAATACGCGTTCTGGGTAAAGTTGATCAGTCAGAGCTTGCCTCTGGAACGGTCATAGCCTGTTCTGAGGTCGAACGGTCTTGCTTCTCGAACCAGACAAATTTGGAAAGCCCGGTGCATACGTTGCATATGTTAGAAGCTGCAAAGTGACTTCGAATGCTCATTTCCCACGGAGGATGCTGAAAACGATCAAGTGAGGCACTTGCTCAGGAGAGGTTCAGCAGTGAAACAGGAAGCTCGAAGACTCGGAGCGTTGCCTAGTAAAGACTCACTCTACGACCGCGTGCTTGCATACAGTCCCATTGAATAGACGTATTATAGGTGTGATGTGACAATTTCTTCCTAAATAAAAAAGTTGCCATGAGTGAATTTGTTGTTTTTACTGGTTTCGGCCCAGCCTTGACAGTTTGAACTGCGCAGACACAAAAATCGGTAATGAGTGTGCGAGAGCGGCTCCGATTAACCCACTAGTGATATTGCTGTCATGTTGGCCGACTTATGTCTGGCGTACTAATCGTTCGCGAGTTGGTTGATGTGTGAGGTTGTCGAGTTTTTATTCATTGACATTTTGGACGCGTTTGCATGCTTTTACACAAGTACCATACTCCGTCTAATCAATTCGCAGCTGGAGTTTCATGAACCAAAGAAATGCTTAAGAACATACAATTACGGTAACCAACTCTTTCCTGTGAAGTCAGCGAGCTTGTTGCCGAGACGTATATCTCACTAGATTATTAAGGTCGTCTTAGTAGCATGTGATCCCATTAACATTCTGCACGTTTCAATGCACAGTTATGATGTACCCATCTCGCCAAAATGTAGGACTCTGCCCCCTATCATCAACGTGCTAGTTTTGAAAAAAGCAGGAAATCCCATTGTGACTCACCTTGCGGGCGCGTCAAGTATACATTCTTTCTCGCTCAGGACGCATCGGTTTAAACCAGGTATGTAGTACCTCCCATTAACGCAATCGCACTTGTTGCCAAGGAGATGACACTTCTTTCCTCCATCCGGACATCGGCACTTGGCGCAACCGCCACTTGAAAAGTAGTGTAAGAGCAATAAACTTTCAACTTACAGTATTTTCTCACAAAAAGCACATCCCGTACAACAGAGAACAGAGCTCTAGTAGGGCTTGCACTCTGTCGTATATTGGCAGCGCAAGGTAACTGAACGCAGAAGGAGGAGATAAACGAGCGTAAATTCAAATTCGGTTTATCCACCGAAACACAAAAGGGAAGGGAACTACCAGATGTAAGCTTCCCCCGTGATAAAGTGCCATCCGCAACGAGATTTGACAATCTAAAAGGGGTATAGACGCTGAGCTGACACGGCTATCAGTATTCTTTCTCCATGAAAAAGGCTTCTGAATTGTTGCTAGTTTATGTTTGGCCATTGCACGAAGTGTCATCGCGTAACTGAATTTTCGAAACCGTTTGTGCTAATACGCACATCAGGACACAAAAATTAGGGAGATCGTGGGAGCCTTTCTCATAGAAAACGTTTATTGATAGTTGTGTCAGCTCGCCATTTATATCCCTTTTAGATGGTCGAATCTCGCTTCTTGACGAAATTTGAGCATGGTGGAATATTGCGTTTTGTATCCTCTTTTCCTTTCGTGTTTCGGTGGATAAAAGTTTCAATCTACGCTCGTTTGTCTCCTCCTTTTGCGTCCCGTTAGTTTGCGCTGCCAATATTTCAGTATCAATCTATAGCAACTAGCCCGCCTTTGATTCCTTTTACATGAGTCATTTTCCAATGCACAACTCTCTATAAGCTTAGCACCACCGCGTTTCTCTAGTGGCTAAGGTACTCGGCTGCTGACTCGCAGGTCGCGGGATCAATACCTGACTGCGGCGGCTGCATTTTCGATGGAAGCGTAAATGCTGTAGACCCGTGTGCACATATTTGGGTGCACACTAAAGAACCCCAGGTGGTTGAAATTTCCGGATTCCTTCACTACGGCGTCTCTCATAATCATATGGTGGTCTTGGGGCGTTAAACCTCGCATACCATTATCAGCCCTCTGTAAGTATAAAGGGTATCCCAGAAATATTATTTGTAATATAGTCAATTCAAGAGCCCCTAAACAACCTCCGAGAATGCGAAGAACGAGCGTGTCATTCTGTCCTGGCGTTTTCTATTTTGTTGCACAATTTGTGACACCAGCAGATTGTTCAAGTGACTTCCAGGATTAAATAAGCTCTCGGCCAGTCGATATGCGAGAATCGTCACAAAAGGCAGAATAAGGTCCCAATCGGAGTGGTGTGAGGCAACATACTTAGATATCATGTCCCCTAGAGTACGGTTGAATCTTTTCGTCAATCCATTCGTCTGTGGATAATAGGCGGTGGTAGTGCGGTGAATGATACGACATTCGGCGAAGAGTGCGTTGACGACTTCAGAGAGGAATACTTGTCCTCTGTCGCTGAGAAGTTCCCGCGATGCGCCGTGACGGAGAATGAAGTTCCGCAGGAAAAAAAAAGTGATACGTCGCGTGCTGTGGCAGCCGGCAAAGCGGCTTTTTCTGCATATCACGTCAAGTAGTCGACAGCGACAACGATCCAACGGTTTCCGGAAGCCGCAAATGGAAGTGGCCCATACAGATCTATTCCAACGCGGTCGAAAGGCCTGGCTGGGCAAGGGATTGGCTGGATCGGACCGGAGGCGTGATGAGGGAGAGCTTTGCGTCGTTGGCACTGAAGGCATGACTGAATGTATTTGCGCACAAAGGTGTACATGCCTCACCAATAAAACCGGGAGGAAAGCCGAGCGTATGTTTTGAAGACGCCCGCATGTGCGCACTGAGGGTCAGTGTGGAAAGCTGAACATATTGCAGCACGAAGATGGCGAGGTATGACGAGTAACCACTTTCGGCCGTCAGACTTGTAGTTCCGGCGATAAAGGAGGCCATCGCGGACCTGAAAGTGAGCCGCTTGACGGCGCAACGTTCGAGAAGATGGAGAAGTCAACGGGTCTGAAAGAAATCGCAGAAGAGTGCTGATCCAGTCATCCTTACGTTGCTCGGACACCATGCCGCAGTTTTCTGGGAACGCAACCATTTCGTCCACGCTAGATAGACATACAGAGCTTTCGGAAGGCACAGGTGAACGTGATAGAGCGTCGGCATCAGTGTGACGTCGGCCAGACCTGTACATAACACGCATGTCGAACCCTTGCAACCGCATAGGCCAGTGAGCTAAACGGCCGGAGGGGTGTTTCAATGCGGATAACCGAAAAAGCGCATGGTGATCGGTTAATACGTCGAAGGGGTGATCATATAGGTACGATCTAAATTTACTTAGAGCCCATATAATTGCCAGACACTCCTGTTCTGTCAAAGAATAGTTCTTCTCCGCTTTGCTGAGGGTACGGCTTGCGCATGCGACTACGTACTCCTGGAATCCCGATTTGCGCGGCGCGAGCACGGCGCCGAGTCCAACACCGCTCGCCCCAGTGTGTACCTCAGTCGGAGCAGTCGGGTGGAAGTTACGCAAGATGAGCAGCGAGGTTGACAGGCGGCGCAGCTTTTCGAAAGCATCGTTACAGGCGGGGAATCAAGCGTAACTTTTCGAGTCACTGCGTAGAAGTTTAGTCAAGGGGGTGGTGATCATCGCGAAATTTCGAATAAAGTGGTGGAAATACGAACAGAGGCCAAAAAAGCTGCGCAGATCCTTCAGAGACGCAGGTTTAGGGAACTCTGCAACTGCCCGAAGCTTGGCGGTGTCAGGAAGAATACCGTCTTTAGAGACAACATGGCCGAGGATGGTGAGCTGACTTGCGCCGAAGCGTCATTTCTTCAGGTTGAGCGGAAGGCCGGCGTCAGTTAGGCACTGCAGTACTTCATATAGCCTTGTGCATTGTCTCCTACATTTGTCATGCTGTTGCATAGCACGTTCTGCATTGTCTCGCAAGACTATACTGCGTGATAAACTGGTTTCGCTCCATTTATTGTTTTTTTTTTACTGCGCCAGGGGAGTTAGCAGGATGTAGACAAAAATTGTGAAATCCTGGCTGGCTAACAACCTAGTGCTGGCACTCAACGTGTTTCATGAAGAAATAAGTGTCGAGGAGGAGACAGTGGTTGTACAAAGAGTAATGTAAGCGAGACTTAATCCACTGTTTGCCTTTCAACTCAATGCCGTTTAGGTTACCTTCAGTGTAGTCTTACGTAAAGGTCTTGCTGAGTTAGCTTTTTGTTTCGCCATTTCTGTACTGTCCCTGTTCACATTTTCCCGCGAAACTAGGAAGACGCTCTGCCCTCGCACCTACATTCTGGCACGTGGATTTCTCGCTAACACGCAATGTCTGGAAGAACACTGGCTAGGCATGCTATGTGGTAATCCAGGTTGCCCGAAGATAAGAACGTGGTGGCCGTTTTGAATGAACATGCACAAATGAACGCGAAGGAACACTTTGAATTTGTGTAAATATTCATTTACGCATTTATTAAGAAACCGTGTAACCATCTCCGTTAAAGTAAGCGAGCTTATGAGAAAAGTTCTTTAGTCGGGTACAACTCAAGAAAGCAGGGGAGGCCCCGCACACGACTGAAATGCTGCAGCCGATCCCCTCAGTGGCTAAAGGAATCGTCTCACTTTTTATCTCGGCAACATTCTCTGCAGGTGAGGTCAACGGCGGTCTGCCTCATGACGTCAGTCTGGAGTACACGCCTAATGGCGCAGGCTTGCATGCACTCGCCTTTGAAGAGGAAACGCCGCTGACTTCTGAAGTTTTACCCGACTGCAGAGGAGATACATTTCTATGTATCTGTATCATTCTCTGGGCGACATTTAAGAAAAACACTTCGTTTTGGCCGGGTTTGCGTTGGCCAAACTACGTGGTGTTCGAAATTCAGAGCAAGAAAACATGAAGTTTTGCTGGGAGATAATGCAGTAGCACATTTTCCCGCGCACTGCCATACCTTCTCTAGAGAATCCACGTTTTCAGGCATTTCTGTTTCTGCAAAATGCTGGGATACTCTGGCTCGGTAAATAACGGAAGCGTTTTGGATAAGAAGAAAGGTGACTCGTGTATAAGCGAAACATCAGTGGTTTTAAAAATGTCCGCGTTTCAGTATTGCTTTTCGGCGATTGAGTGGATATGGCTTTCCCATGACCTCTTGTTTAGATGCGTAGTGGTTACGTAAGGCTGGGCTGTTTGCGCATGTTCGGTGTAGCAAATATATTTTTTGGCTTTCTCCTGCTGAGAAATCAGTTGCGAGCAAGGAAGATTAAAACAATTGCTGGAGTGGAAATCATTGCCCAAGAGTGAACCCGTGCCTATGGTAAGATGGTGGTTGTGGCGGCCATACTACTATGGGCATGATAAAGTACTACCGTTCAGCGATTAAGAACGAAGCGTTTCCCTCGCTTGCTCAAAAAGCTTAATGTGGACAATTTTTTTGGGTCACATGGTGCTCCAAGTGTGTCATAGTGTTACTAATTTTGTTTAGCAAGCTGTTGAAGGCAAAGTTCGTTGGAGATTCCGTCAGCAATACTCGTTTCTGTGTGTTATTTTCTTGGGAACAATTATCTTTTAATAAACTAACTAACGTAGCAATTAAACTAACATATCAAAGCCACTTGACCTCTAAGTGGGCACTACCAGAAAAAAGCATGTTTCCACCATCTTGGCAGTGGCAAAAGCTGGCTTCACTGCTGCTGGCAAAGCATTGCGGGAGCTTCCACTCCCGAAAATTTTTTAAAGTCCTCCTTGGTTGCGATTGGCGCCCTTTTTTGTGCTTCTTCAATCTCTGTATCGTTTCAAGGTGTGCAGAATTTTCCAGCTTTATGATGCACCATTCAGTCCAGCAAGAAGTACCTCTAAGCGAAATAGTTGCCAAAACCTGGGTTTTGCTATGGCGTCACATGAGTTGCTATCGACCCAGTTCACTTCCTGCGCAATGCACTTACACAGTAATGATGTACTCAGAGTACCAAAGTGCAGGGCAATCTGCTATCATCAGCCTGTTTCTTTGAAAGAGAACATGGAGTTGCGTTTATACCCACCTTACGGTGCTTCCAAGTATACAGATTTTGCTGTCTTGGACGCATATTTCTGAATCAGGCATGTAGTAATTCCCATTTCTGCATTCGCACTTGCTGCCAAGAAGATGACAATTGCTTTTTCCATTTGGACACTGGCACTTGGCGCATCCACCCTTTGCAACGCCACTGCATGAGGAATAAGGTTAAAACTTGTAATATTTGATTACGGGAAGTACAGGATGTACAACTGAAAACAGAGTGGTTAAGGAAAAGTGACATTGGGTCGCAAGAAATGAAGGGTTATACAAAAAATAAGGCTACATGAAAACAATACATTGGGTAATTTACTAATGCATTGTCATTTATATTCTTTAAGGAAATATGGTCCGCCTCGGTAGAACAGTGGCAATGGTACTTAAAGCTGACCCAAAGGTCGAGGTTTTGATTCTGGCCGCGGCGCTCACATTTGCACCAAATAAAAATGGTAGAGGCCCGTCTACTGTGCGATGTCAGTGAATGTGAAAGAACACCAGATGGTCGAAATTTCCGGAGCCCTCCACCAAGACGTCTCTTATAAAGAAATCGAGAAAGAGAAGCACCGCGAAAAACGAGAGTAGCTTATACTCGAGAAGTACGCCTATAGGGCGCTGATTTACAACAAAAATTTTATTCTTCAAACAATGGATATAAAACTACGCAGTGGAACAAAAAAAGTGGAAATAAAAGTGATAGCCGTGGAAAAAAGAGAGACCATAAAATTTTTCTCATTGCTCGTGAAATCAACCCGATAAAAAGAAAACTTCCTTTTCTGAGAGGGCAAATGAACGCCTACTCACGCATGCATCTCCCAGTATAGCAATCTTCAAGGCCTGCAGTATTTCACAGGTAAGCTGGTCCCGAAGACGCTTGATAACCACACATGAGTGAAAATCAGTCGTACACCCACAGCCTCGCCATTGAATGCCTAGGTGGCCAGACACCGTTCAGGAAACGCTGTAAGCGTGTTCTTTAGGACGCTCATTTAAACATCGCCCAGTTTGTCCTATGTATAGTTTACCACAGGACAATGGTCTGGAATACACCACGTCATGAACGCATGAAACCAACTTATCCCGATGCTTAGTCGGGCAGGTGGTGGTCTCCCTAGCTCCTGGGTTGATGGGCCTACACATGCTAGCCAGCTTCTCCATGGCAAAAAAAAAACCTCAACGTCACATTTGCCGGCTATCCTCTCTAAGTTGTGGGCCGCGTCGTGAATGTAAGGAATGACAGCGTACTTCTTACTTTGCGTGTCGCGAGTATGAGCCGGCAACCATGGACTTATTTTTTTTCTTCAAGCAAACACTCAGCCACAGCGCTCATCACGTGACACGGGTATTCTGCATTGGTCAGTCGTTCTATCTGCATATTAAAGCTGGCCTGGGTCTTGTAGTAGCACGACTTCCGCGAAGCGTGGGCGAAGCAGGCCTTTGCTGCAGCCCTTTTTAGAACTTTTTTACAACGGTTTCCGTAAAGCAAGTTATGTCTTTCCTAAAGGATTATTCCTTTTTCTTACCAACATCTGATAAAGAAGGTAAATTTCTTGTACTTTCAAATGACCCGCATAAAATAAAGCTAGCGAGGCAATTTAGTCTGTCTTTAAGCAAAAAAGATAACGTTTCACTTGCTAAGGTTAAGACCATGGCAAAAAAAACTCCCTGAAAAGCTAAACCTTGATGTACTTACTAAAATGTTTGATGCCGGAAAAAAACTCAGTTTGTAAATATTCTTCAATCACAAAACCCACAAAGTGGGTTGTCTTTTTCGCGTTATAGCTTCTGAGGCCAACACGTGGCAAATGTTGATAGCGAAGTTTCTTCAGAGCAAGTTGAAGTGTCAGAAATCGATTATCCCTTTCTTGTCAAGAATTCACAAGACGCCATTGCATATTTTAATGATAATCACTTTGTTGGCTTCCCGTCTTGTTCGGTAGACACCGAGGATCTTCATTACTCTTTGCATCACAGTGAGCTTCTCGTTTGTATCCTTGATTGCATTGAATACTTTGGTGTTATTGCCTATCAGAACATGACGGGTATTTCTGTGGATGGCTTCACGGAACTGCTGGACTTTTACCGTAGGTCTACCAATGCACCTTGGGGTAATCCTGCTTATTTGCAACGAAAAGCCGTTTGCATCGGCTCGGGCTTGGTACCCGTATTGAGTGATTTATTTTTGGCTAGCCTTGATTGCATGGTTCAGGAATGCTTAACTGAGTTGAATGTTGCGAAAGAGTTTCGCTAGGTTGACGATTTCCTTGTATTCTTTGAAGCTGGTACTTCAGCTGTAGGTATATCAATGAACAGTGTTCTAGACGTTTCTCGTGCGTGCATGTCAACTCTTGCTTTAACTCATGAAGTTCCTGATGAGGGAACAATCCGCTTCCTGGATTTGAGCCTTGCTGTCAAATATGACCATGTTCCTTGGCAGTATGCCGCACGGGCTAGTAAGTCGTTGCTACTGTTTCAGTCGGCCCACTCTAAAGTTGTAAAAAGGGCTGTAGCGAAGGCATGCTTCGCCCACGCTTTGAGGAAGTCGTGCTACTACAATATCCAGGCCAGTTTTAATATGCAGGTAGAACGCCTCCCCAATGCAGAATACCTGTGTGGCGTGATGACCACTGTGACTCAATGTTTGCTCAAAGAATAAAAAATGAGTCCAGGGTTGCCTGCTCAGACTCGCAAAAGTAGACAGCAAAATTAAAAGTACGCTGTTATTTCTTACATTCAAAGCGTAGCCCACAACTTAGAGAGGATAGCCGGCAGATGTGACGTCGATGTAGTTTTCTCTGCCCTGGAGAAGCTGGCTAGCATGTGTAGGGCCATCAACCCAAGAACTAGGGAGACCACAACCTGCTCAACTAAGCATGGGAATAAGTTCGTTTCATGCGTTCACGGCGTAGTGTATCCCATACCATTGTCCTGTGGTAAACTCTAAATAGGACATACTGGGTGATGACTAAGCGAGCCTCTCGAAGAACAGGCTTACAGCGTTTGCTTGGTGGTGCCTGGCCACCTAGGCATCAAATGCCGAAATTGTCGGTGTACGACTGATTTTCAGTCATGTGCAGTTATCAAGCTTCATCGGGACCAGCTTACCCGTGAAATACTGGAGACCTTGACAATTGCTATAGAATGGGGGATGCATGTGTGAGTTGGCCTTCGATTGCCCTCTCAGAAAACGAAGTTTTCTTTTTATCTGGTTGATTGAACGAGCTATGAGATTGATTTTTTGCTCTTTTCTCACTGGTTATCACTGTTTTCTTCTTTCTTCTGTTCCACTGCATAGTTAGATATGCGGGGTTTGAAGAATGAAGTTTTTATTGTAAGTCAGCGCCCTGTATGTGTACCTTTGTCTGGGCTCTCGTTTCCGTGCTGTTTCTTTTTCTCGATGTAGTACCAACACGCCCAAGCAACCATTTTAGCGTCTTATAATTATATTGTGATTTTTGTGCCACAAAACTCCAGATAATAGTATATTACGAGTATTCTAAAATCATCATAGTGTAGTGAATAAGAAAGACGTTGATACCATCAGGTCAGCTATCATCAGCACAAGAAGAAGGCACGAGATCGGCGATCAAGCACCGTCATCTGGGTTCGCCTGCGTTCCTTTAGAGCTACCACCCGCTTGCTCAGTCCTTCAATAAACCCCCTTTACATTTGGTGGATCGTGCTGGGTAACTGCATCACCTACACCCTGGAACTCCGATCCCGCACGCTGCCGTCGACCATGCAAGTTGACGCTGCCCAACAGACAGCACCTCTCGCGGCTCCTACTTGCCCCGGCCCGGTTCACCAGCGAGACCCCCCGATCTTTTCGGGCGCCGAAGACCAGGACGTCGAGGACTGGCTGTCGTCCTACGAAAAAGTGAGTGGACCAAACAGGTGGGATGACGCTGCTAAATTGAGCACCGTCAACTTTTACTTGGCTAATGTGGCGAAACTGTGGTATACAAACCACGAATCCGAGTTTGAGAACTGGGCCACTTTCAAGCAGGCAATATCCTCGGTTTTCGGTCGCCCTGCCGTGCGGAAGTTGCGCGCCGAACAACGCCTGCGCTCACGGGCACAAGAACCTGTCGAAACGTTTACCGCCTACATCGAAGATATACTCGATCTCTGCAAGCGCGTCGATGCCGCAATGAGCGAAAGTGCCAAGATCCAGCACATTATGAAAGGTGTTGATGACGACGTCTTTCAAATGCTCCTGGCGAAGTCTCCTGGCATGGTGTCTGAAGTGGTAACTCTGTGCCAGAATTACGACGAATTGCGACGGCAACGAGCTCTCACCCGTCGTCCATTTCAGCCTAACCAACCACTCGCTGCACTGGACGTCGTACCTGACCACTCCCGCCTTCTAGCACAAATGAAAGACTTTGTGCGTGAGGAGGTCGCACGTCAGCTTTCCCTCCTGCCGTTTTGTCAGCGCCAAGAGCTCCCGCAGCAGCAGCAAGAGCAACCACCGACACCGTTAGCTCCCATGCTCCGACATGCACTTCAGGACCAGATTGCCGAGGCTATGCCAGTGCCCTTTCAGCAGCAAGTCGTCGCCGCGCCTCTTACTTATGCTGACGCAGTAAAGAGGCAGCAGCCACACCAGCCCTCGCCGTTCAATGGACTGCCGCATGTCACCGCTCCTACTCAGTCTTCCGTCGCATGGGCTCCTCCCCTCGCTACCACAGCCTCGACTCAGCCGTATGCCGCGTGGGCGGCGCCCCTTGCTACAAATGCCTGGCGAACGCGCGATAACCGGCCGATTTGTTTTGCGTGCGGCGGACCTGGCCATATCTCCCGATACTGCCGTCGTCGCGTGCCCGCCTACACAGACGTCCGACCACGAAGCAATTACATGGACCGACCACCTTTTGGTTATGAAAGTTCGGATCGTCAGTCAAACACGTCTTCCCGTGACTATCCGGCAACTTCGTCTCGTCGCTCACCTTCACCCAATCGACGCTCCTTGTCACCCATGCGTCCACGACCAGCCCCTCAAAATGAGGGAAACTAGCCGTCGCAGTTCAAGGGGCAAAAACTGCGCTATCGAAATGTTCAAGTCCTCGCACCTTGCCGTCAAATATCGTCGAAGTTTTTGTAGACGGCGCCCATGCATACGCTCTTGTGGCTACCGGTGCCGCTGTGTCTGTT